TACACGTGTTCAAATGGCTATTATTCTTCTATTTAACTGATTATTTACAGGATTATCCACCTCGTTCAATTGGATAGAAACTGTATTCCGAATGGCCTCAATCGGACTAGTCTATTCTGATTGAGCTATTAGTCAGATCATTAACGGATTATCAGGCAGCATGTAAACGTGGCTAATGTTACTAAAGCTGCAACTACTGAATATTCTAATTTTTGAATCTATTCTATTATTATCTCAAATACCGGAATGTTCTACAAGAATAGGGAAAGCTAAAGCTGTGTGTTTCACTAAAATGATTAATGATTTTCTTATTATTCTTATTGTTATATTAAAATATTATTTTAAAATAAATATAAAGTGCACACTAAAGTTTGCAGAAAAAAAAATCATAGTCAAGTTGTCCCTTGTAGAGGAGGTGTTAACTTATTTTCACTTTGCAGATGACTGTATAGATAATATCAATTAATAATTAAAAGCTTTTGCCTGGCAGACACGGACAAGGTTGAGGTTGTGCCTGTTGTAAAAATATCACTCAGACTGCTGGGCTAGAATGACTCAAGACTGAGAGCCACAGCTCAAAGCACCGCACTGTATGGTGCAATGACTGAGTTCACTTGAACTGAAAATGTTTTTTACCTCAAATGAGTACACTTAAAACGCCCGTATAATCCACTTACTTCCAGAAGTGCAAGTCAACTGCACACTGTCCAAAGAAAAAATCAATCCCACAGTGCACTCCAATATCATTACACTCCTTGTGACTTTATTGACGCTCATAACACCTGCGATCATGCTGGGGAGTAGGCTGGGATGAGTTGGTTTCATAGACCAGTTTTCATCAGAAAAGCTGATATCATAAAGCTTTAAGTGTTGCATAGGAATGTCTCCAGAAATTCTTACATTTTGTTGAATTATGTCTGCTCACTGAAACAAGCAGAGAAATTTTACCAAAAAATATAGATTCAAAGGTTTCAACCGATACCACATTTGTGTTTGTGAGTAGGAAAAGAAAAATTTTATTATAATTTAAATTTCATGATAAATTACTCTTGTGCAAACAGTCTTGTTTTGCGGTAAGAAAAACCATCCTTTATATTTTTGCAGTGTTTCTGTCATTTTATTTTAATTAAAATAATTCAGACGTGTAGACTTTAACCTGTTGACACAAACTGTAAACTGAATGTAAATCTGATTTTAACATTCAGACATTACTGACAGTATATAATATTGTAAAATGTTGGTGATAACTCTAATCTAGGGTTAACATACACTATATTAGGTCTAGTCCTGTACTACACAGTATGCCAAATAGAGATTCTCTTTTGCAAGGAAAATACAGTCCAGGACAAGTTTTATCCAGACTTTGTAGCATTGATGCTCTGGAGCAGCCGTACATGAACTAAAGATTACCATGTCCAATGACAAACGTAAGCTAGAGAGTTCTAAAGCCCTCAAGCATTGGGCTGTGGAGCAGTGGAACTGCATTCTTTGGAGTGATGGAGTTGAATTGAACATGTCCCTAAACTGAACATGTGCTTTCACCCGTGATCGACTTTTTCAAAGGTAGGAACAAAATGTGTTGCCGTCAACCATGCCAATGAAAAACCTATGTAGTGTCATTTTCCTCTTCCCAATAATCATACAGAACCAGTGGTTTTGCATACCGCAAATAAACATCAAATCTAGCTTTTCTTGTGCCACAACGAATTATGTGCTAGTTCCCTCAAGAATGATGCATCATGTACAGTATGACACAACATCAGCCGTTCGGCCCAGAAAGCTCGCCTCATAAACAGCACCCTGTGGAAGAAAATACGTCCCCGCCACGGTGACGACATGTGCATGGAAGCCCAGGACGGCAAGGTGCCAAGCACTCCATCAGTGAGGACAAATGCACAAACGCTGGCGGAGTGTACAAATGAGGCAGAGCCTTGGAAAAGCATCAGCATCGCAGCACTGTCAAAAGAGGTCACACAACCGGCGCCTGCTGGAATCTGCCCTGCTTGACCCTCAGATTGGGGTCAATGGTGTTCGCAATGCTAAATATATTAGCAGCGTGGCACTGTGTAGAGCAACATAACCCTGTTGTGTTCTCCGAACGCTCTGGGTTTATGAGGTAAGGAGAATACACAGCAGGCTAAGAGAAGGCTCACTGTGAAGGTTAAGATATTGCCATTGGTATACAATGAACAACTCAAAACACATTTACAGAGAGTAAATATACAACACTAGTGAAAAGTATAAGTACACAAGCTGAAATCTATTCTTTTTTATAACCTGGCAATGTTAAACAATGAAAATTTCATTCATTCATTTGCAGATTACAACACACAAAACAAAACTCATAACTGGAAAAAAGTTCAAATAACAAAAAACAAATCTCTTTGCACAGCAACTGGGAGTCTGAGAGCACATAACTGTTCTAGCTCTCTCTAAGTGGTCATGCTAGCTAACACAGGCATCTGTTAAGTGACATAACAAAATTAGCAGTTACCATTGTCCTCCAAGCGTATTGAGCTCCAAAGACAATGCATTAACAGCTGTTTGAAAAGACGTGGTGGAGCTTTATGTGTCTCGTACGAAGTCCATGTTTGCCTTCACTCTCCCAACTTGGTAGCATCAAGTGAAATGGGCAGATCTAGCTAATGGGTGATTACTTGGATTGAAATTTTTGTAAAAACAAAAAAAACAAAACAACAAAAAAAAACAATCTCTGAATCTTGGATGCCTCAAAACAGGCAGCCTTTTATCTTAATAACAACTTGAACCCTGAGGTTAAGTTCTAGTGGGAAATTACCCAACATGCCTTTACTTAAGGCTTGGGAACCCATTACACTGAAATTTACAAGTTGATTCATAAATTATTAGATTGGTTTAGATTGGTTGATATTGTTTAAAGCATACGAGGGCTTCAAAAAACAAATATTATGATCATGTGTGTGAAATGATTAATAATCAGTTATTAGGCTTTTAACATAGTCTGTAAATGTGAAAAAGAACTAAGGATCTATTGCCCAAGAGCTAAATTAGCACCACAGGAAAATGTGTGTACAGAATAAGTTGTATTTTAAGCTAATTAACCAGCTATATGTAGTTAGCTAGATAATGTATGTACTACTGAGACAGGATAAGCTGCTAAATTTTTAACAGGTTTCTGAAGTAGCAGCTAAATACTCCCTTTCCAAATTTGAATAATACAGGAACCAAAATTTGAATAAGAGGCTATCTTGATCTTTATCCATTTACTGACCATTCTACAGCTTCAGAATCAACACCAGCATGTTTTCTTTTATAGTGGTTGAAGGTGGAAAGTTAGTCAGACTTGCATATGCTGTATGTGACTGCTTACCTTTAATTTTAAGAAAAATGTTCCCAGACTTCTATTTGTAAATCTGAGCCACAGTTGTTCTTTTTCTTTCTCTATCTGCTCACACAGGTACTACATGATATATTTACACACACACACACACACACACATATATATATATATATATATATATATATATATATATATATATTTACACACACACACACACACATACTGAATATTATCATGAGAGTAAACTCTAGGTACTGCAAGGAAGAGACACAAAGATGTAAGCGACTGGGCCTCTCTAACAAAGGAGCTGTCATATCCTCGGATTATAGGGTTCTCCTGGTGTGTTTGTGTGTAAGGGCATTAGGCAGAAAAAGCAGCTGAGCTGGGACTGATCTGGCATACAGAAGACTGTTTGATACCAACTCTGCTGTGTGAGAGAAAAGGAAAAAAGGATTCAAGAGAAATGGACAGAGTGTGTCAAAGAAAAGTACGGGGTAAGAACCGGGAATGGAGGGGCGTCCAAGGAGATAATATATGAGAGAGAGAGAATAGAGAGAGTGAGTCACTTGTGAGTGTCACTTGTCACCTCTCGAGCTGTCCCACCTGTCAATAGGGCACAAAAGAACTCAGCCCTAGGCTTTGCAAGGCGATCGTCTGGCTCCCCCCGTGTGATTCAATAGAGGCAGCATCCAAACGCACTCTCTAAAACCAATGAATAACACTATTGGCACGGTGAAAAAAAGAAAAAATACGTGGAACAAAGAGCTAAATCAATTAACTCTCAGGATGGCAAAAACAAACGAAAACAAATACTGTCTTTGATAAGAAGGGTGCTGTGGGCTTCTCCGGATGACGGAGCGCTTAATCAAATTCGCATAAGTCGATGCAATGCATCTGACTGCACAAAATGAAAGAACGCAAAAATTAAGGTGGATCAAAGGGCTGGAATCCCAAAAAGTTGCAAAAGAAAGAAGGTCTGGAGTTAATCAACTGGATTTTGCAGTTGTAATAATCTATATGTGATCAAGAGCCTTAACACATTGAACTTTCACTCACCAGCCATTTTATTAGAAGCACTTGCCCTGTTTGCCTACTCCCTGGCCACTTTATTAGAAACTCCTGCCCTGTACGTCTACTCACTGGCCACTTTACGAACACCAAGCTTGTACTTCCACCCACAGGCCATCTTATTAGAAACACCTGCCTTGTACTTCTACTCACTGTCCACTTTATTAGAAACATCAACTTTGTGCTTCCACTCACTGGCCACTTTATTAGAAACACATACCTTGTACTTGCGGTTACTGTCCACCCACAATAGGCAGAGGCTTTATTTGACAGCCCCCATCTTTACCTCATTCATCATTTGTCAGTTTCTGTGGTAGACAGGAAGTGGTGCCAGTATAAGTGCATCAGACACAGCGGTGTTGCTGGGGTCTGGACAGTGTCACTGCCAGGTTGAAAATGGACTACCACCCAAAAATACCCAGCCAAGAGCAGCCCTGTCATCAGAAACTGACCATTGATGAGGATGACTAATGCAAACTGTGCAACATATGAGCTACAGTCTATAGTACACCAGAAAGGTGGGGTTTCTAATAAAGTGGCCAGGGAGAAAAACACATTATGTTGGGAGTCTGTTTGATTGCCCTATCCAGAAAGCAAATCACAGGAGTCTTACCTTTACATGTAGGAAGAGCTTTGTCCCACACAGGTTTTCCGTCAGCTCCAATGATGCAGGTGAGTGTGGCCGGGCCCAAGGTGGTGTAGCCCGAGTCGCACTGGTATGTGACAGTGGATCCAAGTTTGTAGTCCATTCCCAGCCGGCTTCCATTCATGATGTTTCCAGGGTCGAAGCACGCTTCCCTCGGCTTTTCTGCAAGAACAAGGAGGAAACGATACAACTGATGCAAATGAATAATTGCGCTAACGTAATCAGCTTTCAAAGAGCATTGGCAAGATCCATTAAAGGCACTTACAAGAAATAATCACCACCGCAGACTTTAAAGCACACCGCCCACCCACACACTCCTGCTCGACTGTGCCCAAGCAGTACGAGTGGAAAAAAAAAAGTTATGGCACTAATACCTGTAATTCAATTAAAGCCAGCTTTGATCCTGAATAGCGCTAATCAGATGCTGCAGCAGCCCACAACAGCACGAGAGTCAGCGGTGAAGTTAACCCACTGTCAGCCACTACAGTATACTGGCGGCCAAGGGACAGAGTGTGGCAGACAGAAAGAAAGAGAGAGAGATCAGAAGAGAGGGAACAGGGAGAGGGGATGAAAAACAGAACAAGTAAAGGGTTAAGTGAAAGTTAGAGAGAATGAGATGAAAAACTGAAAAGTAGAAAGAGCAAACAATAGAGAAAAATAGGATGAAAGAGAGACAGGAAAGGAAAGAGGAGGTTAGAGAGATAAAGAAAGAAAGTAGAGAAATTGAGAGGAAAGGAGAAATGAAAAAGAAGAAGTGAGAAATAAAAAGCAAAGAGAGGGAGAAGGAGGGAATAGAGGAAAGAGAATGTTAGATAGAGGTGAAAAGCAGAGTAGAGATGCACAAGGAAGGAAAGAGAGATATGTGAGAATGAGAAAGGAAGAGAGAGTAAGAGAGGAGTGGAAGAAAGAGAATATTAGAAAGATCCTGAAGAAGAGGAAAGGAGAGAGAAGGTCAAGGAGAAGCAGAAGGGAAAGACAGAGGCAAGAGTGAAAAAAAAACAGGGAAAGGAGAGAGATAAGAGGAGGAAAAGGAGAGAGAATGTTAGAAAAGGTGAAGTGGAAAAAAGAAAGAAAGAAAGAAAGATAAAGAAAGAAAGAGAAAGAAAGAAAGTAAAGTGAAAATGAGAAAAACAGCCATGAGAGGAAAGACAGAGAGATAGAAACTAGATCCAGAGGGGGTGAACAGCAGGAAAAATAGCTTTAGGCCATTTGTGCATTAGAGAGGGTCCAGCAGTGCTGGAGTGGACGAGGGGAGCTGGCAGAGGGCAGCAGCAGGCCAGCCGTTGGGAAACGGGCAGTGGAGAAAGCTGTGGAGGTGGCGTTGGGAGGGGCTGCCAAACGGGATGACAGCTAACAGCCCACTTCTCCCTTTGCTCGTGCTTCAGGGACTGCCGAAAGTGGGAGGAGGTGAGGAAGGAGAACATATCGCTCAGATTTCTCCAGCACAACACTGTTTTCCTCAAATTCCTCCAGCGAGGGAAGAATTAGGAGCGCACGCTGAGCGCATTACGCCTCGTTTAAAACAGGCACGTCATTTCAAATTCACACGGGTAACTATAATAAGTACGGCTTTGACTCAAGTGATGAGAATCAATGAAATCTGTAAAGAAATCAATTCAACAGCTTCAATTTAAAGCTATATTTTGATAAAAAAAAAATCCAATGTACAGTTTTTTCTTCACTCTCACTAAATGTATTAGCCAAGACATGTTTGTTGTCAGAACTTTGCTTCTTTTGTTTCGTACTAAAGCTACAAGGCTAATACAGCTAATAAGTAACGAAAAGCTTATATACCACCAACTAACACTGGGTAAACTGCATGTCAAGTTATTAAGTGGGGAATTCCATTGAATCTTTTGCATTCCTGCATACTTAAATGGTTTTAACCAACATACGATGGTTTTACCAGTGACCAGCTGTGCTGGTCTATGCTGTTTTTTTCTAGCAGGATTTTCAGGATGGTGGTGATAGGAACCTCTCTTCAGACATCTGGTTCTTATCACCTTTAGAATGGAGCACTGAACCACTCTGAATGACTTTGGTGGTATTCCCTTTTAAGTAATCTCAAATAGACTTGCTTATGTGGTTTCTGAGACTGTGCAACACACCGTCTTTCATAAAAATGGACAAAAGTTAAATTCAAGCTTCAAGTGGGCTACTAGTGCTGTTCTTAGCTATGCGATTCAGGCTAATTCTGCACAGTGCTAACTAGTGTGGCATTCAATCCATAGCTTGTTAGCTACAACAGCTTTGTATCACATCTCCCCTCCTCTGGGAAGACTCAACTTGGACTCTCCCTGGCTCCTCCCACTCTCCTCCTCTCCCACACACCTGCAGCTCCTGTTGGAGCTCATTAAGACTGCTACATATACTCCTTTGTTTCCACTGTGTGTTTGTGAAGTCTCTGTGTATTTTACCAGAGTTCTGAGCCTGTTTCTTGTCTTTGGGTTTTACTGGTTTTGACCCTTGCTTTTCTCTCTGATTTCAAGTATGGATCTGCATCTTTTCCTGCCTGCCTGTATGTTGACCCCTGCCTGCTACAACCTTGAGTATCTGAATGTCCCTAATTAAGTCACTTCGCACTTGTAACCTGCCTCAGCCCCAACGTTACACTTTGTAGCTCCAGAGTGAAACTAAAGAAGCAAAATATGTCTTAGCTGATCAACTATTTTTGAGGTAAAAGGAAAACTGTGTAAATATTTTTTCACTGAACGCTTAAATCCTGGAAAAATAACCTGAGACTGAACAACCATCCATGTTCAAGGTGCTAATGAAACCCTTATACAACCAGAACAAACAAAGAACTAAGCAATAAAAAGAAAGCAGGTACATGGTAACAACACAGGAGCAACACCTGAGCTGAGTCTGCACTGCACTCATGAAAAATAAAAAGCTGCCAAAAGAGTTGTCTGGAGTGATGCCAAAAACTCATTTTGGTTCCCTAACGAACACTTCAGTGGATAGTTGTTTAAAGACTCCCTACAGACAAAAATGTGCGTTTTTTTTTTTTAATTGTTAACTTGGTTGACATATGATTATATAGAAAAGGTGATTTGTGAGGCTTTATGCAGCAGCTTAGTATGATACGCCACAAATAAGCATGAACCTATCACAGTCCAATATGCTGAAATGTGACACTAAGATGACACGGTGATGGCATGAAACATACAGCTATAACGTAGCTAACTGAGATGTCTGAGACTGTGCTTTTAGCATTTTGGGAACCTTTAATATAAAGGGTGTATGAAACCTTTACATTACATGGAGGTTCTTTAAACTTTGAAAAGGTTCTTGAAATTCAGGTTTCATTTACTTTCAAGGAATTATCCATTGAGAGGTTCTTTAAGTAACCAACAGTTCTTGCATCGCTCCAAAAGAACCCTTGCACCTTCATTTTAAGTGTACGCCTACAGTTACCAGTCGCTGAGGTGAGACTAGAATTTGAGTTTGAGCATTAACACATTATCTGGGTTTCATAATTAGTAGACGCTCTTCTTCTTCCCCTCCCGCCCTTAAAGAAGGAGAGCGGCTCGGATGGCGCTGTTTTGATATTCGCGTCTTTCACCCAATAACTCAGCAAATGACTGTGCCTACTGGTGTGTGATGAACAATAACGGTTTGGAGATTGACTTTTGTAGAAAAAGAAAAAAATATACCGGCTAAGTGAGGATATGAATTAAAAGTGGAAAAAAGGTAATACAAATGACAGGGGAGAAGAGAAAGCTGCACTGTTTGCCATCAAAAATGTCACATCCCATCTGCTGCATTATGGCTAAGCGAGCATTAGACTCTGTCTTGGGAAGGATGAGTTATTCAGCGGCGACTATCGCTCACCTTTAAGGAGAGTAGGCAAATGGACTGAGGCATTGCTTGCTTTATGGCCGGTGTGTGAGGAGTAATGAGTTTGCAGGGAGAACTGGAATCAATAGTGTTGCACCTCGAGAGCACAGGAGAGCCAAATCAAAGACGAAGGCCTTCGGTTTAGAACAAACAAGACACTGTAGATGACACTAGTGACCAAAACACAGGCAGCGTGTTTCCACCAAGGATTACCAAGAATGCAGTTTCTCAATGATGTAGTCACTTTTATGCTGATATACAAAGAACATGATCAGAAAGACCAATGCTCAGATTTTTATTTTGTTTCATACACTGCCTTTTTGAAGTTAATAACAGCATAAAGCTGCAGTCACACAAGACTTCCGCACTTCACATTACCTTGAAAAATGACAACCAGGAGACCAGCCTAGAAAAAAATCCTCCTTGTTGATGCAGTTAACTTATATCATTATACTTATAATATAACCATGATAGTATAGTGCTGCACACTGACCTGTAGCAAAAAAATGTAGATAGCTGTGGTTGGCGGCAGTCAGGTGACTTGTGTGCAGCTGCAGTTAGTGAGTTAGCTAACTAATCTACCATAAACACTAAAAACAAAAACATGAACATAATTATGTCAGATAACTAAACTCATCATTTGCCATAGCATAGTACTGCACACTGATGCGTAGCAAAAAAAAGTGAAGATAACTGGCATGGGTAAAGTGGGGTGACTTGCAGCTGTGGTTAGCAAACAAACTAGCATTCCATTTAGCATGCTGGCTAACCAGTGAAACAAAAAAAATAAAGATAATCAGACTGTCTCCCAACTGACTGCATATTATACATTCTCTTTCATGTGTTTGTTTAGAGCTAGTGAGGAAACAAGGTCTAAAGGTTTGTGCTTAAACACTGCTAAAATTAGCATTTCCTCTGTTTTAGAGGTTCGGCGCTGCTATATGAAGAGCTGCCTCTGCTTCTGGCCAAAGCAGTAGCACCAGAGAATTTCTAGTGAGGAGAACTGCCACTCAGTAATGTCTTCCGAGTTTGTCAAACTAGAGGGCGCTCCAGAGTGAGTCCAAAATTAATGAGTTCCTAAGGATATTTTGTGCAAAATCTTCACCAAAGTTAAATTTATTCACCCTGAAAGTTCGAGAAACGAAATCAGTCATTGGTGAGTCCTACTGAAATGATTGTTGTTACTCTAACAAATCAAAAACAAGCCTTTAAGGTTTAATCGTATTTCGAGTGTGTGCTCACGCTCATCATCCAGTAATAAAGGCTTGTGCTTCTTTTACACAGTAATAGGAAACAGTAGCATGCAGAAAGGTCCAATTCCCACACACTGATTCAGTTTACTATGACCAAAATGGACAAGCACATGTCACAAATACTCTGGGGCAGATTTTAATGAGTTAAAGGGGACAAAGCCAAAGTCTCAAAATAACTTACCTTCATTTTACGTTCTCTTTCGGCAAGTTAAAATCTGCATGTCTGACTTCTTTGTTTGTTCCAATGTCAAAAATGATCAAAATATGGCAAAGAAAAAACACCTCATTAAATTTAAATGATAAAATATCTTCTCTTTTTGAACACAAAAAAAAATTGCTGACAGTTGACAGTTTGGAATCTGCCATTTTTAACTGAATTTCTCCAGTCATTTAAAATAGCTACATGTGAGAAATAATTTGTACAGAGAAAATTTCTCACATGTAGCTTTTGTTATAACTGAAGATGACAAGTCTGTGCTGAAGTGGGTATGTTAGTATGGAAAGTCAGTATGGAAAATGATGCACTTTGCAGGAAAATGGGACTTCCTGACCAGAATTGAGAAACAATGTAATATTATAACTAAATATGATGAACGATTTGGTATGAAAATAAGACAAAAGGTATTAGGTGAGGTCTTGGGATTTAAATGAGAATAATCACAACACTCGAATTGAATTGCTTTCCATACAAATACCCATTCAGATCCTGTCTCTTTTAAGGCTTTCAAGAGAAAACTGGGCAAGATGCATAGGCCTAGAGTGTGATTGCACCCAGAGGCTTTGAGAAACTCTCATTTCACAAGCATCACAGGCCAGTATCACTTGGTGCTCTGTATATTCTGCTTGAAAAGTGGCAATGCGCTCGGAAATAAAACACAGCAGCTTTGTAGTCCAGGCATGGAAAAAGAAAAGAAATGCTCAGTTTATGTTTTATATTTCAAAATAACCACAGTCACTATGAAAGGTGGGCGGGCCATCTGAATTAAAAAGCCACATTACATGTTTTTTGGGGGGTGGACGTGCTGTCTGTGCTGAATTGCTTTGGCATTTCGTTAAGTACATCCTTTAAAGAAAAGAGAAACATGCTTTGCCCCTGAGGAAAATTACTAGGTATTCAAGTAGAAAGGTTAATAATATAGCAAAATGGATGCACAATATTTGACTTAATATACAACACACATGCACGTTGCTGCAAAACCACTTAACAGCGTGCCGACTAATGACAGAACGGCTATTACTCCACCGAACACTTAATGTGCTATTAAACAGATGCATGGCTCTTTCGCTCTAACGTGATGCACAACGAGTGACGGCGTAAGAAAATTCCACATATTACTTCAAGGAATGTCAGTAACAGCATCTTAAGTATATAAAGCGTAATGAAGCGTGGGCTTCGTAAAGACTCTTCTGACCTCCATCAGCTACTCTCCTCCCTGGATTTCCTCTTCTCTTAATGATCACAAAGCTGAATAGAAGAGATAGTAGCAATGGCCGAAGCATCACCTGCCTCCACAGACATAAAATAAACATACATATGACTGCACTGTCAGTAAGCAGCAATGTGTGTTAATCTAGCGATCTAAGTAATCAAGGAAAAGCCATTCAGACTTTAATTTAGACTAACTCCACAGTCCAGAGAGACTCTTAATGCAATTGCAATTGCACTTCATCTAACATGTAATCCGAGCTAACTGCTTAGGCAACCATTGACTTTATTTATCAAGATAAGGTGTCCAGAAAGAGCTAAAGAGTCTATTACAATCTTAAATTCTGAAGGCCCACCTGCAATGCACAATTTCATGAACCAAATCATTAGATTACGCTCTTCTTAAAGAAAACAGCTACAGTTGTTTACAAAGCAGGGGTGTCTCTAGACCTAAATGCTGCCATGCCCCACTATAAGCATATGAAAAAGTCAAACTGTGAGCTATAAAGTTTCCCATTTTAACCCTGACTGCTGGCCTAAAATAAACACAAACATGTGCAAATTCACTACAGACACTACATTTCCCACAATGACCCACCATACTTCCTTTGAACACTTTCAGTTTCCATATCAGACTGTACAGCAACTGTTCTCAATAAAGAGCTAGCTGTAGGCAAGTACTTAGCAGCACAGCTATATAAATGTTACAAACAGAGCACCCAGAGTAATGCTGATGCTTGAGTTAGGGGCTAACCACTAGCGCCTACCAAAAATTCATATTAGACCGTTAAATCAAAGCCATTAGTTAAATTAGCCACTTATATAGTCTACCTGCCTTTAATACACCACTAATGTTGTATTTCTTTTTTAAATAAAAGGAACCTTGGGCCTCATTCACCAACCGTTCTTGAGAAGATAGGTCTTCTTAAAACCCACTTGTGCAGTTTTCTAGATCATTCTGACATTCACCAATTTTTTATCCAGGATTTGTTCTTAGGTAAGAACAGAATCTACTTACACTCAAGAGCACAAAGCCGTGAACAGTTCTGCGGTTTAAGAACACGACATGAATCTGACGCAGACTTTTCTTAGGACCTTTCTCAAGAACACATTTAAGAAAAAAAACGTAGGAGGATATTGGTGAATGAGGCCCAATGTAAATTTATCAGCTTCTCATTTTGCAAGCTTGTGTCAGTTATCTAGCATGAACTAATGATGCACACATAAAATCACAAGTAGAAAAGTGAGAAGACCTGAAGGACAAAGACACACATCAAAGCAAATAAGAGTGTCTCTGTGCCCACGCCAGTACTTCAGCAGAAAAGAGAATCTTTTAACCTTTCCTGGTCAGAGTATTCAGTCAAAGATGCAGCTTTCTGTTGTAAATGCAAACTGTTTTGCCCTTACGACTGGCAAACAAAGAGGTTGAGTTGTCCCCATTAATTTATGCCATTTTTGTACTGGGCATTGCTGTGGTTGCAAATCTGTAATAACGCTTTTTGTCATAATTTTTACTGCCAAATAACATGTGCTATACCTGAACACCCATGCTGAATTTAGCTAGCCTTCTTGGACCAAGGTACCAAGTGGCCAAGCTGGAATGAATGGGTGGAGCTAGTAATGATACAAACCATTGCTTGGTCAATAGGAATAATCATAGATTCACTGCATGGTGTCACTGGAGTGAATGATGTGTCTGTTTAAGTGGAAAGTACAAACAGTTCTAGGTTTGGATTTGTAAACATACTGTGCTGGACCACGGTGCCTGGTGGAAATACACCAAAAGACTGGGCCATAGTAAAACCAGCAGTTTAGAAATGCCCTTGTAAGAATGGAAACATGGTAGATGCCAATTACCATAATTTATTTTCCATAAATGTATTGGTGGCTGTGTGCTGTCATAAAGGCAACATCAGGACTTTTTGATTAAACCATTCTTTCAAGGCCTAAAATATCCTATAACAGTGTTTCCAAATTTCAGTCCCTGCCCCAACACTCCTTTCTATGAAAGGCTTTAGAATAAGCTTATGAGTTGGATCAAGTGTTTCGGGACAGAGAATTCTTAAAACTCCAGGGCAGTGAGTCCCCACCACTGGAGTTGAGTGGTATGGATGAGATGTTAATATGACATTCATTTTCTAAAAAGCACTATTGGGAGCTATGCTGCAAAGTAATGCATTCAATGTGCTTGATTCAAATGTATACCTTATTTCCATGTGAATAAAATACATTACATCAACACAATTTTGACTTCAGTTTACTTACTTTTAGCAGTAAGTGCATTGATGTGATATATTTCATTAATATGGAAATTATGTATGCATATGAATGAGGTAAATTCAGTGCATTATTTTTGTCAGCATACTGTGCATTGTGAGCTAATGCGTAACGGAAGATTTACAAATTCCTTGCATTTGCAAAACATACTTGGCCAATAAAGCCTGATTCTGATTTGGCCCTACAACACTACCCACAGTCTTAAAAATAACAGGGTTCTCTGGAGCGATTCCATAGATAAACCACTTCTGTTTACTTCTAATCTATGATGTCGTTCCACAGAACTTTTTGGCACACTTATTTCAAGAGTGCAGGGCCCTTTGATAGTGATGGTGAGGGACTTGCCTTTGTACTCAATGGCAAATCCAGACATGCCGAGGGAGGCGTCACTGCGAAAGGCAAGAAAGAGGCTGTGGCCGCTGCTCTCGATGCGCTCAGGCACCTGGTTGCCCTGCAGGCTGGTGATCAGCCGCCCATTAGAGTCCTCACCCTCGTAGATGTGCAGGAAGTCGTAGCTGGGCTCCATGTTAAAGCTGCATAAACAAGAAAGCAGTACTAAGGACTGAGCAATGAAGGAAAGTTCAGAATTTTATCATTTAGAAGACGTTGAAGAGACAGTTGTCATGTGTTCTCGGGCCTTTCTTCACCACCAGTATTCCATCAATATCTAGATAAAGAGGCCCCAAAAGAAGTTGGAGGAGAAAGAAATGAAGGACACAGCTGATTTGTCAAGCTTGTTTTGTTGCAGAGACAGGTAGGTAGCCTCAATTCTCATTATAAATCTGAAAGGCTGATTACTCCCATGGACTTTCACTACAGAATCTGATTGTTATATGTACTATGACAGCAAGTAAATGCAGATTAATTGTGTATAAACATAGCTTTATCATATGATATGTCATGTGAACGCTCGTTTCTTGTTTTTACATCATTTGTAAATACCACTTACAAGGTCAGTTACATTAATAGATGTTTTTTTAGGAGATACATGGCAATAATAGACACTACAACTGTAAAGGTTGTAATGAATGTTTTGAATAACAAAGCCACTTTGGCTGTAGATATTTAAAAAGTGACATGTATAAAATGATATATGCTATTCCTGTACAAAGTCACAAATATTAAATAATTAACATGAAGCTAAAACGCTGTATAGAATGAAGCAATTTTGGTTACATTTCACTGAAGGGCAGGGTTCATGAGGTCTGCACAAGTCTTTTATGACAGGTGACATGATGCTGATGCTTGCTGAAACAAACCTTTACAGATTTTTTGTAGGCTCCTGCAGTTGTCATGTAGGTTTATGAATGCTGCCCTTCAGTAGAGTCAGTGAACTTTTTGATGTGCCCTGTATGACAGAGCTGCAGATTCTAAAATGGCTTAAAAAATGTTTGTAGTTGTATGTAGATATTTACATATGTATATGTAAATATGTAGTTGTAAATCTAGCAATTTTTGCTGAAATGTGCCCAATTATTATTATTAAGTGCTGTTGATTTGTGTCTGACTCCTGGTGACCATCTGGTTGTGTTTCTCCAGGATATCCTGTCTTCTGTTTGGGTCTTCAGGCTTCTGAATGGCTGGTTCATGATTCCTCTGATTGTGTCCATCTTGTAGCTGGTCGTCCTCTTTTACCTTCAGCTCTTCCAAGCATAATGGTCTTTTACATTGAACTGGTTCTTCTCAGAATATGTCCAAAATAAGGGCTTCAGTTTGGTTATCTGGACTTCGAGTGAGAGCAGAGGCTCGATTTTGTCTAGAATCCATTTGTTTGTTTTCTTTGCAGTCCAAGGTACTCTTAGAAGTTTTCGCCAACACCAAAGTTCAAAAGCATCAATGTTTTTCCTGTCTTGCTTGTTTATTGTCCAGCTTTCACATCCATAAAGAACCAAAGCCTGGACAGTTCTGATCTTTGTTTGTAGAGACAAATAATTTCATTCAAAGATCTTTTCAAGCTCCTTCGTCCTTGTTCTGCCAAGAGCCAATGTGTCATACTTCTTGAGCGCTGGATCCTCTGATGGTAATAATCTGAGCTGTCCACCATTTCCACATCTTCTCCATCAACGAAAGTAAAGTTAGTGGTCTTTCTTGTTGTCATAGCTTTAGTCTTCTTATGTGCCCAATACCGATATCCATTATTGGATCAATGCCATCTCTAGTTAAAATAACATAAATACAAGGGATGGCATATTGATATAGATGAGTATCGACACTGGGCTGTTTTCAGCAGAAAATGGTGGATCGCATATTGAATAAAAAAAAAACTATGAATGTGATCCAATCCTGTAACAAATCTATACTGTAACAGCATACACTCTCACTGTATTAGCTGCATAGTTCTTCCTGCGCGGTTAACAGTGACTGAGTCGCTATTATTTTTAAATCATTAGAAGTCATTCAATTAGAAAAGAACCTTAGTAGTTTTTAAAGAAAATATATTCATTCGGTATCTGCTGATACTCAAGGTTTCAATAATGGTACCCGTACAGGAAAACTGGTATTGCTCCATCTCTAATAAATACTCAGGACACCTAAATTATTTCCAGTATACTATTCATCACAGTTTCCCAAAATACTCAAAATCCCTTATGGCATTGTTGAAGTGGGTAATCGGGAGAGCCGGGTGAAGTCCGGAATTTTGGACCAGTTTCTGTGGGTTAACATACAGAAAGCCACAAACACAAACACAAGAATACACAAACAAACTGTAAACAGTAGTCATTTAGGGGTTAATTAACTGGTGAGTTCAGCATGGCGGCATGTGAAATGCTGACAGGAACTTACCCAACATTCGTTTATAACATTGTCAACTATCCTGACTGTCATACATAGGATAAAAGGTTCGGTTTTCATCTTACCATTAGCTAGACAACCTCTCATTATAGCAAAATAATGAGAATAGAAAATGCACAGACTTGGGAAAAAAAAAAAAGCTAACCCAATCTAAACACAAGGGTAAAAGGGGAATTCCACTGATTTCTCAAAAGTCCTGCATAATTCTGCTGTTGAGATGTAACTCATTCAGAGTGGTTTGATGAGAAACAGTTCTGACTGACTCAGATTTCTTTACTGTGGTGGTGATAGGAACCAGGAGTTACAATGTCTACAACACAAATACAACCACTTTATTTGGAAACCAGGAGTGCTTAGCAAAATGTACATAAAAACAGAATGCAACGATGTGCAAATCATTTAAACCATATATTTAACTGAAAATAGTACAAACTCAGTAAGCTTCTTTAGAACAGAGCATTTCACACCAAGCCACTCTGAATGACGTAAAAAGTAAAACGTTAATTTTCATGAATGAAAGAAAGAGACTTGTTGTGCTGTCCGTTTTGTTTTTTGTTTTTTTTTGAAAGAAGGCAATGTTTCCTGGTCTGTAACTGTTTCCCACTCCGTGACATGCATCAGTATAATGCAAGCGCCCATCTGGTAGAGTCAGAGTGGGTGGCCTCCGACCGCGAGCGAGCACATTACCTTTTGAAAATTAGAGCGATGACAAAGTCCGGGCTGACTTTTATTCGCCAGTCACACTCCTTTCCTGGCGGGTAGGGCTGAGGATAGTTGGGTGATAGAATTACCCCAGCAGGTCCTGTCACATTGCCTCCACAGGTAGCTATCACAACAAGGAGAGCGAGGGCGAGAGATAGCTTTAACATGAGGGCTTCAATAAATACACACACACATACGCACGCAGACGATGAACAGCGTTCGCTGAATTGATTACACAGTGATTACTCTGGGTTCATTATCTGAAGGACAATAACAGTTGAAGGACTCTGGGAACATAAAAAAAGGCGGAGATCAATAATGCGATGAATTATCAAGAAGATTTAGTAGAGCTCGGTACAATTATCTGGAAGGATATGTAAATGTCACTTCTCGATCTTGAAAGTAATAATTAATATATCAAACGCAGTGACCTAAGCGATACCGCCAGGCTGGCTAGTCACCAAGCATGAAAACAACCTTGGTCACAAGCGCTTAAGCCTCAGTCACGGAGCTCTTAAGAGCGACTGAGAACATTGCAGTGCAGTAACATGGCAACCGGTTTGGAGACACAATCTGAATATAGACATTCTCTGATAAATGTGCTCCCTGACGCATATGGCTTCCCAACACATGCTAGACAATGCTCGTCCTCAACATCTGCACAAGGTGGTGAAGGAAATAAAAGGAATAGAGCAGAAAACAATTAGAGGTCCAGGAGCAGGCAATAGCGAGCGCACACTGTAATTTAGGAAACAATAAACTAGCTAGCAGCTTGACTCGCTCCTATAAAGCTGTGCTTGGAGGAATGTTACATAACTCCCTTAAATTCCTACAAAGTGCTCTACATGCAAGGACAAACAGTCTGTGAAGTCAAAAGCCATATTCTGAACACAAGCATGAGTCTAGAGTTATTGTTGGTTTGCTATACATTGGATTTACATTGCATAATTGCTTACATAAATATTAAGACATTCATGTAATGAATTACATTCGATTATTATTCTGCGTCTGCACTTCTGAATTTATCTAGTTGTTTCAGTGTCAAAAATAATAAAAATTAGAACATGCTTTTATCACTGGCAATAACTTCTAAGGATAAAAGCTGTGGTACCCATTCCTGCTCCTGGAGCAGCACTGCCCTGCATGTCATAGCGTTCTCCTGTTCTATCACTCAGTTCACCTCAGGAAGAGCTTATTCATCAGTTCATTATTTGGATCAGGTGTGTTGGGAGCAGGGTACTCTAAAATGTACAAGGCAGTTATACTCTAGAACCAGATCTGAGAACCACTGGGCCAAAGAGATGTTTTGGCAGAAAAATAAAATTTACATCATTTTGAACTGGAGCTACAAGACTAATGTAACTCAAGTCTCTGTCATCTAGGATTGAAGATTTTGGGTGACACAGGGGACGTTCAAGCCACATCTATCCAAATTCTCAAACACAATTTGTTTCACTATTGTTGATGGAACACTGCACATCGCGACTGAAAAGCCGTCCTCTATTCTGCAAAATGCATGTCTAGTTTTAAAAACGATCTCTCAAATCACTTATTCAACATGGAGAAAATGCTACCTAATGCTGTTATGAGCATATTTAGCCTCAAGCTCCTCGCAAAGACTACCACCATCTGAACGTGAAAGAGAGTTTTCTATTTATTATTATATATGTTTTCTATATAAAATGGTCTCTGCATATTAAATGCAATTACACATTTCCACCAGAGAAGTCTCCAAATCCCCCCAAAATCCCCCTATGTGTCATAAAGAGGGGATAATGTATAATGTTTATCGATTGTTTCAGTCTTCACTGTCTCAATCTTGCTTGTCAATCAAATGCATTAACCTGCTTCAAAGAAATAAAGCGTTGTCTGAATGTCCCCACAGACTTCCATTACAGCTACATTAACCTCCTAGCTCCAGTGCAATACTACAGCAGCACACTTCAGATGTCTTGGCCAATTGACTACATTTGTGGTAAAGAGAAAATCCTTTCAAAATCCTCATCAAGTCATTGCAGTCCCACTATATTGTCTGTAAAAACTGTGTAATTACACATGCAACAACAATGTAACTACTACATACATTTGTATGAAATCCTGCTTGTCCAACAGGACTTCTCTGATTGGCACAAGAATGGTTTAAATACCTACATTATGAGAGCAGTTATGCTGCATCTGCTCAGGAAACACCAAGGAAACATTTAGCTAGGCGCAGCAATATACTTGTGTTGGTACCCTAATATTTCTGGTATTAAACCATTCTGTAATTAATGTAGGTAATTAAACACCTCATGTTACAATCAGAAAAGTCTTGTTGGAAAAACAGTTAATACAAATGTAAGTACCCTCACTCTATTACACAATGTATAATTACATAAGAGAAAATATGTTCTGGCAACTACGCAAGACACACTTGTGTAACTACATGTAAAACTGAAGCTGATACAAACATTTACTTACATAAGCTGTACTTCTGGAATCCTTCTGTAACACTAAATACATCAACAGTAATTACATTGTTGCTGCATGTATTGTTAATGTGTAACTACACAGTTATAACAGACACTTTATATTAAGTGGGACTACTTTGAAGGAAAGAAAAAAGCACTGTGGAAACATAAAACGCAGCTGCAACTGACCTATGCAGGTGGGAGGGTCAGGCTGCCAGAAGAAGCGGTTGTTGAGTTGGACACACGTGATCTCTGACACTCCCTGGACCTGATAGCCTGGGTCGCACTGGAAGGAGATGGTGTCTCCCGGCTCTCTGCTGTCCCCATAGCGGCTGCCGTTTTGGGGGATGCCTGGGTCGTTGCAGGTTGAGGCAGTTGTAGCTGAAGTAACGCAGATAAATTTTAGATTAGTTTAAGATCAGTGGGGCATACATCAGACACCAAGGGATGGGAGGGGGGACAGAGAGAGATAGAGAGAGACAGAAAGAGAGCGAGAGAAGCAGAGACAGCTGCTCTCCTCTAAATATGCCATGCTGTGAGCCTCCCAACAACTCACATGACAGAGTCCATATGCATATGCTGCACATCTACAGAGATACAAAAAATAGCCCTATTTCATCTACTTTGTCACATTTCAAGCACAAGTTTAATTATACAAGTTTCACAGCAGCATGTATGAGTAATTAGGGCCCTTTGAGCGGTATATTTCTGACACTATACGCTGGAAATAAATAGAACAGGAATGAAACGCGTAAGCTGGAAACTACAGACAGAATAGAGGATATGATGACAGTGAGGGAGATGAAACAAGGGTGAGAGACAGCAAGAGGAAGCTGGAGAGGGAGAGCAGGAGCTGCTTACTGGAGAACTGAATGGAAAAGCCTGACTTGCTGATGAAGTAGTCGCTGTCGAACTGCAGTGTGAGGATGTTAAAGGTGCTGTGCGTGTCCTCGGGCAGGAGGGAACCACTCCACTCCTTCAGCAGGATCCCGCTCTCCGCCGGGCCGTCCCACACCTTCAGAATGTCGTGGTCCACCTCCGTGTCGAAGACGATGAAGTGGAGGCTGCAGACGTCAAAACATACATGCTTACTCTCTTAACTGTTAGAGGCCAAAGATTCTTAACCCCTTAAAATCCCAGGCTTATTACATACTAAGGCATATTACATATCAAACTTATATGTGTCTATAAGAGTATGGGCGCATATACAGGCCTTTAGGGTTGTCACTTGTAGCTCATTGAATCAAGTGGAGAAATTCACCAAAATGAGAATTATAGCAGGTGTCAACAACATACAATATTTTTCTTGTACACTACACTACTGGTGGCGCTGGAGCCTATCCCAGTGGTCATAAATATATTACATATTAGTTTGAGGGGAACTCCACCTTTTTATATTTCCACATAATTCAATTGTTGAGTCAAACAAGGACTTTAAGAATTGTACAGAAACTTGAGTATGTGCACTGTAGAGTGACATTCACTGATTTTTTTTCGAGAAAGGTGGTGGTAGAAACCAGGGGCTGTGTTTCCATGGGGGACAATGCAAATATAGCCATTTTATTTACTATCCAAAATGACCAGTGAACCTACATGTGTGTACTGAGTTTTTATATGTAATGTTGATGGTAATATGATAGTAAAAATGGTTGTAAATGTAAAAAATAAGCTTTTTGGGAGACTTATTTGCTTCACAACACCCTGTAGATGCATGTCCATAATGATTGGCTTTTAAAAACAAGTTTTAGGCCAAAACCTTCTCAAAACTTTTGTAAAACAATGTCTTAGGCATCAGGCTGTGTATTTGTAATCATTTCATGTAATAACGTTCTATGATATAGCTTTTAGAGGCATTAAACTCTTTAGATGTCTGGTTCCTATCACCACCACTGTGAACATGTGAGTGGCATGTCGCATTAAACCATTCTGAATGATTTTATTTGCATCTTCACCATTTCATTATGCAGACATTTAGAAAAATTGGTGGAATTCCCTTTTAATAGCAATTACTGAATGATAAATCTCATGGCTCCAGGGGTCAAACTCACACTAACTGCTGTAAATCACTGTTTCCTAAACCTGCTGTTCAAGCTGCCCACATTACAGTGTTTTCCTAGCTCTAAAGAAAAAAACTTCATGATTCAAATGTGTCAAGTGGTTGCACAAAAATAAAATGTATTACATCAACACAACTGCTGTCTTTCACTTTACCTATTTAGCGAGAATTGTGTTCATGTAACATATTTCATTCATCTGCAACCACTTGACACATTTGAATCATGTAAATTCCAAGCACTATGTGTTTCAGTGTACTTCAGTTCAGGAAGAGCTTGTGAATTAGCTAAATAGTTGAATCAGGTATGTTAGAGCAGAGAAATATGCAGAACATGGTCACTCCTTGACCAGTACACCACTTGTATTCTTAAGTAACTCTAACTCCAAGGAAGAGTGCTTATCTGGAATCTCGTACTACTTATTGAAATTAACAAAGGATAAAGCTGATCTCACTAATTCATCAGGTCATTAATTTGTGTATTTAGATTGTTTGCTGAATGTATAAGACTGTTATTATTCTTTACTTGTGAGTGTAGCACAATAATTGTTGATTTACAGATTTACAGAACCATAGGTTCAACCATTAAAGATGAGTTAAGATCTGTAATTAATACTTTAGTCCCATGATTAGACTATAAGGTCTTATTGTTTAACTCTTAAATGATCCATTTCATGAAAAACAACATTTCCTTGCTTTTCTTTTTAAATAAAAGAGTTTTAAACAGGATATAAACATTGTTAAAGTTTCAAAACATCCCCAGTCCATACAGTACATATATGGAAACTAAGATGCAAAAACAGCCCTTCTCAAATCACTGTTTTTGTGATGTCACAAGAACCAATACATTTACATATATCTACCTACTTGGCCTACAGCAGTTTAGCCCCACCAGCTGTTGCTTAAGTTCAAAGGAGTGTTTTAGCCTAAGTTGCTTTCTGGTCATGTAATAATTGAATATGGTCATTTTGGTACCTACACAAACATTAAAGAAATGAAATACAGATAAAAAGTAAAAAGAAATTAAATGCAAGTAAAATGTATGATATGGGCTTCTAAGTCCTGCAATTCAACCCTGTGGGAATAAATTTAACTCAGAGCTTAGGACTGCTGATTTTGATCAGTGCTATTTAGTGCAATTAGTTAGTGGACAGTAGATGCCTGTACTCAAACCAGCTGAAAGCCTAGTTAACTTTATATTTACAGATTTAAATTTCTCTTAAGTCTTATAGTTCAACACTTATGTTCTATATTTCAACTATGTGGGTGTAAATGTAACTCAGTGTTAATTTGTACACCACAGTTTTTTTTTTTTTAGATTTTAAATAATTTCCACATTCTGTAATTATTTAAACTGTGTTCGGGGCCCAGTTTCCACATCAGTAAAATCTTCTTAACTCACATGTGAACAGAGAAAGCACATAAAGTGATCTTCACCCTTCCATCTCCTCCTCCTTATGAGGTTGTGTGCAGTGCCATAGTGCCCCTTGGCTATTTGCTTAGAGTCAGCCTTTCAAAATTGCAAGGCTGCTGTGCAAATTTGCAGCTCCGATTATTTAGATCCAACAAGGCTGCGGCCTGTCCTCACGTCAACTACAGCAAACGTTAGCGGAGCGAAAACATTGCAGACAAGCCATTCATCAATAGTAGTCACAACAACGCTAACTGGCCCTTTGGGACGTGTGGGTGGACATCTTTGGGCTCCCTCGGTGGCGGCGTGAGCGTAAACACAGAACTGTTTATTCAAATACTTCAACCGGTCTCGACATTTCTGTACCGAGAGGGAGACACTGAGTGCGAATTTGAGGGAAAAAACCCTTTCCATTCTGAAATAATGGAGCGCATCCAGCAGTGCTGTCAAATCACACTATTGCCGCAATCTCTTCTTTAAACTGAATTGGCTTACCTGATGTTCAGCCCATTTTTGAAAGCCTAATTGGCTTATCTCTGCTTGTGTTCGCCGTTGTCTCCCCTCTACTCTTACGATAATGGACTTGAAGTAACAGATGCCAGCCAGCGGTAGGCCTCGTAGCAGGGCGGCGATGCAATCACCATGCCATGTTATACGTTGTGTGGGAATTACATGGGAATTAACAGAGGTGCAGTGAAAAATCCACACCCTGCTGTCAAGCTGGGGCCCAGAGAGGAATTCATGGGTTTCGGTACCTGATGGTTTTCCCTGTATCAGCCTCGATGGACCAGGTGCAGTGGAGGTTGTTGTCGTAGGGGGCCGGGTAGCCAGGAGACAGGATGCGACCAGATGTGGCACCGCTGATGTGGCCTCCACACTCCGCTAGGCAAGAGAAGCACAAAAAAAAGAAACATTATTGCATGTACTAAGTTTTTTCACAGATATTACAAATGATAGAAAGTTAATTTATACAGTTTTCAACCTTACTCCAAATATAATCTATGGAGTCAGGAGGCTAATGTAGCTATCAAGTAATAGATGTTTATTAGCCATTTGTTTGTTTATTAGCCAATCATTTGCATCACACATTTATCTCACACCACATGCAATTCAATTTCAAATCGATTTGCTTATGTGTTTTTTGACTGTAGATGTATAGCTGTGTGCAAAAGAATGGGCGCCCCCGAGTGAAATTCCATGTTTTTTTAATGAATACGTTTTTTTTGTTTTTTTTTTAGTGAATACGTTTTCACACCCTCTACACAGAACACACTTCTGCACAGGAACGGTTACTGTTTATTTGCTGAATTTAACATACTGGGGGAAAAAATGCATAAATAAAATGTACAAACATTACGACATGCATATATGCAAATATATACATTTTAATGCACCATTTCTGTTTATTTGCTGAGTTGAAGATTTTTTTTTTTTTTTACCCGATTTTCTCCCCTAATTTAGTCGTCTCTAATTCCACCCGCTAGTTAGGACTCCCCCAATCACACAGGCTAACACAGGCTTCCTCCGAGACCTGTGAAACCAGCCACTGCTTCTTTTCGAACGCGCTCGGAGGAAAGCGCCAACCACCAGATCTGTTGCGTCAGCTAACAGACGCCTGCGCTGACTAGCGTCACACTTAGTGAGTGATGGGGGGAGAGGGGCAGCCATTCTACCCATATATATATATATATATACACACACACGACTTAAGGTTGTTTACACATCAGAATTGAGTATATTTTTGTTTTCTGCAGAGAAAAACACAGTCTTTCACAATACAATGCATTTTCTTTTGAAGTTCATATACATGCTGTTTGTGACAAACATGCAAACATGAGTTACAGGCACTCCTGCATTCTCTGCAGGTCTAGGTTGCACACCCTGTCCAAATCCTACTTATAAATGACATAATAAGATAACAATATTGTATTTATTCGTGCCTTTTGCAGGGACCCAAATAAGCTGCAGCAGCACTAAGACGAGTTTGGAATACAGTACCTACTTATAGAAGGGTATTTTTTTTTATTTTTTGCTTAATCCTTATATACACATTTTATTCCTTATTATATTTTTCACATTTTACAATAACAGTGAAATGATGATGACAAATAAAATGACATTTTTTTCATTTTTATTCTACTGAAACTACTTCATGCTATTTAATTTATGCTGAACATTTGTTGCTGAAACTGTATTTGGGGGGAGCAATTTCAAAACAGCATTTTTTGATTCAGCATTTTTTGTTTTGAAAATAAATTCACACCTAGGCATCACCTTTAAACTTAGGCATCAAACCTTTAAACAATTAATCTATAGATCAAAATGTCTCTAAGATGATCAAAAACAGTAAGAAAGGACAAACTTTTGACTGGTGCCGTATATCAACAAGACGGCTGAACAACAGTTTATTCCAAACAACCCAGTCTGCTTTAGTGCTTTGAGAATCCTGCTAGTTCTCACAGTCTTTCTTCTTCGTGTGAAACATGAAGTCGGCTCAAAGGGAAAGGAAACGGCCTTATTATGTTGACTAATTCAAACAAATGAATACAATGACCGCTCTGGGCAATATCATCCATTTTCCATGCCAAGCACCTGCAGTATATCTCATTCAAGGCGTTTTAATTAGGGCATGGGGACTGGAGCGATGCGGAACGGCACCATGTGTCTCCTTTCAAAGGTGCACATTCGAAAACTGCTGGGCTGTTTTAAAAACCAATCGCAGATGCTTTGCTGCAGTTCTGAGCAAAGAGAGATCCTTACTTCATCTCTCAGCTAAGCGCTGGCCTCGCAGTTCCATGTAATTACACTGAATAAAGTCTCTTATGGATGCACTCTGTATATCACAGTTAAAAAAGACACTTGCACTCTGCCACTTCACTATACACTTACTGTAAACCAGCAGGGTGGAGCTATAAGATACAGTACAGTACAAAAGTCAGAGACCACCCATCATTTGTTATCTCCAGTCAAAACAGGCTTTAAAGTATCATTTTTTCAGCATCAAGAACAAAAAGCCTCAACAACTAAATATAGTATTAGCTTTTTCAGGGTTTAGTATATCCACTCTACCTTTATTACAGCATACACTATTTTCAGAAGACTTGCTTTCAACTTTTCAAAGAAATTTGCAGGGATATTTTTTCACACCTCTAAAGTTCAGTCTTAGAAGTTGGTTGCCTTTTCTGTTTCTCACGATCCAAGAAATCTCAATTATAAATTTAGTGTCATGCCTCCCTCCAGCTCTTTAGTCAGTAACACTCTGTACACTGATCCTCTCCCATACTCCAACTCCCAGAATCCTCCAGGAGAGCACGTGACGCTCACCCTACCTGCATCAGCCAATCACTGACCACTCTCCAGATCTCAATCACCTGAGTTCTGACCAGCCACACCTGACCGTCATCTACTTCATCCTATAAAGACCGGTTCACTTTGCTCACTGATTTGTGAAGTACTGTCACAGCCTGTTCGGTGACAACACTTTATTTTGAGTGGTCTTTTTCAGATGAAACAAACACTCAACAGACTCTCAGAAACAGGTCAAAAATATGTGAGGGTTAGGGTTAGGCTTTGGGATGTGGTTAAGGTTAGGGTTAGGCTTTGGGTCGAGGTTAAGGTTAGGGATAGGATTAGGTTTTGGGTAAGGTTAGGTTCTGTGTAATGGAAGTAACATATTAACAGCTCACCTACAGCAACTTCACTGATATGTTGTTGATGTGTTACTGATAATCTGTTAAGAGTTTGTTAGTCATCTACAAAGGACCACTCCAAATAAAGTGTTGCCGACTGTTCTTGTGCATATCGAGCGTTCTTTCTCTGCTGCTGCTCTGTGTTTGACCTGGCTTGTTTTTCTAACCTTGGTTTTTTGTATGTGTCCTTTTTGGCTTGGTCTGCTTTTTCTCGTGTTTTGCCTCTTGGTTTTGACCTCTGTTTGGCTCTCGACAATCCCTTTGATGTTTCTAAAGACCATTAGTAGTCTTTCTCTGGTTTTAACCATCGCTTGTTTTGCTCTTTTTTGATTGATCCTCGTTATATTGAAGCCTCAATTTTTTTTTTACCGCAAGCATCTGGTCTATTTTGCCACTTTACATTTAGACTTATCAATCTATAAAACCTTCCTCCTCTTCTTTCCTCTCAGATATCTAGTTTGTGTTCTAGTGCAAATTTTCTCCTTGTCTATTTCCTTTTCTCAGTGAGGTTCTTCTTGAACAGCTACACATCCTTTCAGACCCAGAGCGCTGAGTTGTCTTCTCACAGTGGAAGGATGGACAGAACACCTGTGGATGTTTTCAGATCTGAAGCAGCTTGATTTTCTCCTCTCTCTCAAAGACGAAAGCTTTAAGCGCTGTTTATCTGATGGGGGCAGTTTTGGCGTCTACTAGGTCTTCCAGGTGGTTGTTAGGATTCTCATTTTCTCTGCAGCTTTTAATCAGTTTTGTTATCTCCTGTTTTTAACTTTTTTCCCTTTGATGTTCCCCTCTTTTATCACTTCAAAGGCCAAGACAGTTATTTTGACAGTTTTAAAATTTTTATATGATAATTCAGACAAAAAAAAACCCGAAATTACTGTTCACTTACTTTTATTAAACTAGTGTATATTTCAGTCTGACATTTTAATGAGCTCAATATTTAAAAAGACAAAAAGGAGCAGAGTGTGTTTCTATCTCGAGGCCACTGGCAGACATTAGACTGTTTTCATCTCTGCGAGCCAAATCTGTCCTAATTAATATTAAACTATACTAAAAGATGTTAATTATATATATTTGTTAATTTTGTGAAGTACTTATGCATTTATGAACATTTCATCAAATTTTCTGTGTAAGTCAGTATGACTGGCTATTTAGCAGTAAAAATGCAAGACTTTTGCTGCATGGTAATAGAAAAAGCTACCAATACGCAACAGAATTTTTATTGTTCTTTTTGTTCACTTAAGAAAGAACTTAATGTGAAAGATAACATGTGGCCTCTGTTGTGTAATACTAGTACTGACCCATATGGATTCATTTATAAATTAACTGCAAAACCCATAATTGAAATTTGTTTTCCAGACATTTCTTGTAACATATTCCAACAATACAAAATTAGTTTTTAAAATTATTCTCTGTTGTGGTATAAATAATTGGTCAAAAAGACCTTTCTAGGGGTCGTTCAAGTGAATCTTACATCTATTCTCTTCAGAAATGTTCGTAAATATCTTCTGAAAAAAGGCATGGCTGTTTTAACTGGAAATAAACAAATCAATCAATAAAGGGTCTCTGACTTTTGCAAGGTACTGTAAGTGTTTCTAATAAAGCAGCCAGTGCATGTTCTTATAGTGGTGAATGAACCAGGACAGTGTGAAGATTTAGTATGTTTCACAGTCAGATCTGCATGCGTATTCAAACAAAAGAAAGGAAAATTACAGAGTAGGTAGCAGCTAAATTTGCTGCTTTAACAAAGACTCGGGCCTACCGTTAGTAACATGACAGCGCAGGCAAGGATCATCCCATTGTAGCTCAACTCGCAGGATTTTTTTAGGTTGGTATTGTTATACTTGAGCAGCACTGTACTAATATTTTCCTTTGTGTGGGTTTTAAAAGTCATTACCTTACACAGCACAGCAGACTTCTACTGCCTCACATGCTCTTATACAGGCCTATTGCAGCCTCAACAACACGATCGAAATCCACTATTAAACAAATTAACATTCAGGTCTTGCACAGAGACCTTTCACATTTCTTCAACCAGTTTCTGACTAATCTTCTGTCAAACAATATACTTTATGACTATCACTAGCAGTACTCTGCGCCTGACTGAGCATTTCCATACACTAAGAAGTTCTCCATGAGACATGCGATGACATTTATCTTTCTCAAGTAAACTTTCCTTAGTCAGCTATAAATGACTCTGCTGATGTTTTTGACAGCCTCTCAAATACGGTACTGCTGAAATGAATCATTTTATTATTTCCAGAACTTTTTTTTTGCCTTTTTTTTCCTTTCTCATCTGCCTCTGATACTATTTTTGTAAATAATGACAAATGATGACAAGCAGTTAATGGATTATTTGTGACGTAGGGTAGAAACTTCACATCTTTTTGTACTACAGGCAAAATGTTTGAAACAAAGAGTGAGCCTGAGAGAGAGTAATCACTTCAATCAGTGAAGAGGCACAACAGTTAAACAAACCCAATGCCTAATATTCCATAACAGAGTCAGACTGAAGCTGGGATGGTTTTAAAATACTTCTCTCTCATTACTCTGATGACAAACGTAATTTTTTTAAAGGAACAGTTCAGAGAAAAATCTAACATGGCCAGTTTGGCAAACGCTGTTTGATCCTAAATGTAGCCAGTCAGCTAAAACATCTTTGATGTCTGAAGTACGCTTCTTTAGTTTTAACACTGGAGCTATGAGGCTAATGTAGCTAATAAGCAATGGAAGCTAACACCTCAACAATTAGCATGGTGCTAACCGCATAGTAAATTATAACAAATTTGCCTCAAACCATGTCAAATTGTTAAGCGATCTTAAATAGTTTTGCTTATGTGGCGTCTAACTGTTGAAATTCTTCTACATAAAAATTATAGATAGACTCCAGTTAATACGGCCATTACTACTGTTTTTAGCTATGTGACTTAATTTTGTCCAGTTTCATGGATAAACAGAAACCTCATAAAGTCTGTTTGGGATTACTAAACCACCCTATGTGTTTTGAGATAAGACTCCAAACATGTCTTGGTTGCTCAGCTACATTTGGGGTAAGAACAAAGTAAGCAAATTGGATTTTTTGCCGGATTGCTCCTTTGTTTAAAGCGCTCCGGGGGGATCTTAAAAGCCTAATTGTTGTGTCCTCGATTCCTCTCTCCTCCGTCCTTCAGCCTGTGACCTGGAAATCGATTGAAATCCAACATCTTTGAGGATGTATCAATTCTTTAATTGCATTTGAAGAAATGGAGCAGTGAGGAGAGTGGAGAGTGAAGAAACACACATGCATCCTACAGGGAAAACTTTTTATCGCAGCACATGACGTAACTGTGTGGTCCAATACCTCCCCTCTGTGTTGAATAATTTCTGTTAATGGGATGGTTCTGTAAAAGGCTGAAGAAAGTTAAATTAAACTGTAGATGTATTTCAGTAAAAAACGCACATGTAAAAAATCAGTTGGTAATAGGATATATATATTTTTTATCATGAGCAGATCTTTTAAGTCATGTAATAGGTGATTGACTGAAGATGACTGAATGAAGGATGTGTGTGTGATTATACATCATTAAAATTACAATGATGATGACAAAGCCTTTTAAACTCATAGTTGCAATTTTGCTGCATTTTACCAAAATTCATCCTAAAGCAAAATATTCAAATATAAAAGGAAATTTCACAGAAACCTCAACAACTAAATATCGCTGTCCAAAGACGTATCTCCAAAATGGTAACTTAACAGGAGACGGCAAAAACACTGTTACCTTTTAATGTAAGTAAAGAGATTTTATTCTAATTGATTTTGGGGCATTTCTACTGGTCCATTCATCATGTGAAGGAGAACTGCCGTGTTCAAATGACGTAAAAAAATAAAAATTGACAAAAACGGAGATACATGTTTTTCTTTGGACAGCGACGATATAAAACATTATCAGCATTAGTGTTTCCACTCTTTGATTTTATTAAAGCTTCCATTCTTTTCAAGAGACGAGCTTCTAGTTTTTCAAAGAAATCTGCAGGTATATCTTTTCACACCTCCAAAGTTCAGTCTTATAAATTGGTTTTGAATTTTCTGTTTCTCAACATTCCATGTTATCCCAAAACACATTCAATGTGGTTGAGGTCTGGACTCTGGACCACTTTTCTGATAACACCAGCAGCTTCTTTGTTTTTTTTTTGTCTATTTCTGTTTCTCAGAGAGCTTCTTAAAACATACACATCCTTTCAGACCCATTTTCTCTGTAGTTTGTAATCATTTTTTGAACTCTAGTTTTGGAAACCCCTGGAAACATTTTTCTCGGACTTTCTCCTTCCTTATGCCAGTGGATTATCTTGGATATCTAATTGCCTCAGAAATATCTCCTGAAAAATGAATAACTTCTACTTACTGGCTGTTTTGACTGGATATTAAATAAATTAAATAAATCTCTCCTTTTTTTTACAATACTACAAAACATTTTCATGATCATTGGCTTTGATGGCTAACTGTAGACTTTGTCAAGACATTTGTTAGTGAATAACTAACACGATCATTTGTAGGCATGCTCTTACCAATGCAGGATGGTAGTGGCTTGTCCCAAACCCGACGGTCTCCACTGAGGCAGGTCAGTGTGCTGCTGCCGTGCAGGGTGTATCCCGGGTTGCAGCTGTACAGCACATATGTGTTGGCAAAATGGCCGTCATCCTGGATCTTGTAGCCGTAGTTAGGGGTGCCCGGCTCTTCACACTTGACAAGGTCAAAGCCTTGGAAAGGGAACCGAACAGGAGGCGAGGTCATCAGAATGTAAAAGAGTTTTTTTTTAAAGAAAAAAGGACATCTGTCCACTGAAATCAACCCCCTGGCAGGCGGGGGCTGATTCTTGCTTAATAATGACATAAAGGTTGTCCTATAAAAAAGGCACCTGCCTGCTGCGATTGCTGCATCCGCCGCCCAAAGCAGGCAGTTTCAAATTAATATTGGCACAACATATGCTCGGCTGAAAGATCATCTTTTATCTGTGCGCTTGCCCTGTAGCCGTACGACTCATTTTATCCCCCCACGTTCCAACTGCACGCTAAAGCACTTTCAAAGGCATCGTAAACCAGACAGCCTGGAACGGAACTAGAATGCGCTCATCTACCCCACTGCTTCTCAGCTGAGCTGAGCCAAGATGATGATGGAAAATAAAGAAAAATGATTATTTCATTACTACTGTTTCATTGCCATCATTATCATTATTTTTGTTTAAATGGTTTCAGTGAAAATTACAGTGTAATTTGCATATAATCAACAACATTGTGGTATATTTTCCCAAACTTAATCTGTCAAAAAACTAATCAATAACACAAAAATGGAGATAAACTGCAGCAGGCTGAAGAGGTCGATATATGTAAATGGTTTGATTTTTGTGATGTCACAAAAGCAATAAATTCAAAATGGGCTGTTCTTGAAGCTTAGTTTCAATATATAGTGGTCTGCAAAACTTTGAACAGTCTCAGTCAAATGACAGGTTTTACTGATTTCCTCTACAGGGTACAAACTTAAATATGTTTTTTTCTTCACATTTTAGTGCACAATTTCTATTTACTTGAGCCTGACATATCGGAAAAAGATAAAACCTAAAATTAAAAATTGTGCCATAACTTCTGCACAGGCCATATTTTATTTTTTCCCCTCAATATCTTTACAGTAAATAAACAGTAATTGTGCATTAAACTGTGCAGAAGTGTGTTCTCTGTAGAGGGTGTGTTATTTTTTCTTACTTTCACATGTAATCTGACCAGGGGTGCAAAACTTTTTCATATGACTGTGTGTGTCAATGGCTTGTTTTTTTGTGAAATCACCAATAATACTTTAAAATGTTGCTGATTTTGCAGCTTCATTTCCACATATAGAACATATGGACTAAAGAGTAGATGGTACACTGTCAAACTTAGTGTTTACATACATCAAATTATTTTTATTTTAAAAAGTAAGGATAGTAAAGTTTTCTATGTTACAGTACCTTGAGGAAATCACTTACTAGTGTATATCAGTTTGAAGCCCTTGCTGGTTCCTGTCCCATTGCTGTTAAACTCAATCCATAGATGGTTGGAGGTGCTATTGATGATGACGTTGGACATTTCGCTTTTTGTGAAATTGCCCAGCAGTCTCGACGAACTGTCTTGGCCATCATAGACCTGTAAAAAGGAAGGGACAGAAGACAGGAACAGCATTATTGAGAGCTGGACTGCTGCACTGCTTCTCAAGGCTTTGTCTGAAAAACGGTTCTTGAGACAGCCGCATGCATCTCATCATAATATTCATGGGGAGGTTTTTTTTTCTGCCCCCCAAAACAAAATGTTGAATTTGGTGTCTCTGCTGATTTTGTAATTGCTTTTGGATATTACATTCATATTGAGACAGTAGCCTCCATAAAAAGAGGAAGAAAAAAAGCAACAACACGGCAGCACGGTAGGAAATATTAAAGGTCATAAATCAACGTCAAGCAGCAGTTTTCCACTTTTCTGGTGCGGAGGACATTGTTTCAAGCCCTGATGGAATAGATGATCATGTGACTCTGGCTTGCATGTGTAGAACAGGCTGTCAGTTTGCAGAGGAATGGGAATCCTCTGCCAGAGTGAGGAGATGCTTCCAGCTCCAATCTTCAGAGCTACATAAAACAAAGCATCACACAGAGATACCACCAAGCCAAAAGAATCACTTCTGGAATTGCTCACGAAGCCAGAATTAACCGTAGTCATCATTTTAACGGAAAAGAGCTTGCCGAGGGACGTGTTGGAATTACGCGCCTGGTATCGAATAAGATCGTAATGGAGTCAATTAGCCGTAACACATTCATGGAAATAATGTTTTTGGGATTAATGGAAATACCGCAGGAATGAGACTATAACAAAGATTAATGTGCATCTGATTGCAAAGCTGTTTCACTGTTTCACACTCTGGCTACTTAATTAGTGGTCACAGTAGTCTTCAGGGAGCTCCTTTCTTATATGAAGCTATGGGCGCCTTGAGCGCTGAGACTTAAATGAATCTATGAATAGTTAATGCCTTGGCAAAGTCACATGCCGGGTACCTTGTGGATTACAAGCTCTTACATGTTAACCATGCGGCAAACAGCAGAGGATGACGCAACGGACAAAACTCTGCCATCAAACTTCTTAATTTTCGGCAGAGCCGCGCAAAACGGCCCACACTAATCACACTAAGCTGGGGTACCTTATTAATCTATTATCTTCTCTTTAAACAGGCGACCTTTGAGAGGTGCGGGCTGATCTGGAGGGGAGTTTGCAGTGAATTAAAAATGCTGAAGGGTGTGAAGGAGCCACACTTGGCATGCATACTTATGCTCCAGAGTAGGAGGTCAAAGCATGAAGTCAGAATTCTATTAATTCTGTCTTAAAGGAGTCTAAAAACCTACTAAATTTTTGCTTAATAGGTTTTCCACTGGGGCTACAAGGCTAATAGAAGCTTATAACCTCCAATTAAAATGATGTAAAAAGCATGCCTAAATCTTCACACCAAAACACAGTCATTAATATATTACCTGTTAAAACTTTGTTGTGACACCATCTATCATCTTGATATGTAGAAAAATGGATAAAAACATGCTGCTTAGCTAAAAATTGCAACACTTGCCTTTGAGAGCCCATTTTTTGAGCTAAATTACATTCATTTCAGTGGAATTTGCAACGATTAGCTGCTCCACACTGCAAACCTCTGGGGTGAATAAATTTCATGTGCAAAATTTCACATCTAATTCAACTTTGGCATATTTACATCTTCAACCATTAGTGCTACTGCTTTGGCTGTGATGACCTCTGATGAAAACAGAACGTAGCTAACAGCTGACAGGAAGCTAACAGAAGCTTATGACCAACATCTTACAGACTGCTAATTTCATCACATCATACCAAACTAAACAGTCAATAAACACCCTTATAAAACTTTGCTCATGACACTGTATGCCATGCTGATATGTACAAAAATGGCCAAAAACATGCTGCATAGGTAAAAGTAGCAGTAGCAGCCACTATGAAGCCGTATTCCCACTGGTTCATATTAAAGGCCCAGTCATACATGCATTTATCAGTGAAATTCTGCAAGTAAAATTACATTCAGTTCAAAGGAATTCACTGTTTATGTGCGATTTCACATCACAAATATCAAGGCCAATAATTGGCAGGTGTACTCAATTCAACTTCGGTGAACTTTGACAAGCAAACTCAACCTCTGAAAGGGCAGCCCTTCATAGCTCTGAACCTCCAAAACAGTGCAAAGACTAATTTAACCAGTGTCTAAGCACATCTCTTGCCCACTGGCTATAAACGCATGAGAGAGATACTGTGTGATATGATGTATTATCATCTTTACTTTTGTCTTATTGTCTGTGGTAGACGAGTAAGCAAGCCTGCTAACTGCGATGGTAGAACCTTTGGTAACCACAACTGCACACAAGTCACCCCACTACCACCAACCACACCAGTTATCTACACTTTTTTGCTAGAGATCAGTTTCAACATCATAATCTTGTGAATTTATAATTATCTGATCTGTTCTCCTTTTGAGTTTCAGTTCCTATCGGTGTTTCTCCTTCACCCTCTGTGACACTCATGAAGTGTCTGGATGCAGATTTCTGTACAGCTTGCTATGTGACATTGTCTGTTGTAGAAAATGCTATACATATAAAATGAAATTATATTTCAGCTAAGGGTGTGTGATACAGGAAAAACGTAAAATGGACACTTGTAGACTTTTTTGCGTTATGCAACACATCACAGTACTTCAGTTTTCTAAGGTTTGATAAGTTTATACAAAATAAAAGCAGAAGTACTGCCTGATATAAATATGTGATACATTCTATCACAAACTTTCTGTGCAATGATTTATATTTAATGTTTCGTTGCGCTGAACTAAATTGAATTCAAAAGACATTTTTTGCAAAACCTGGAAAAATCAACCCACGTCAGCATAATGTATTTGAGCAGTCAATGCTGGCAATGACTTCCAAATTAAGATAACAAAAAAGTCAATTTGATCGAAGATGTTGATCCATATTAAATCAATAAGTTATCTTTGAGTCTCGATTATGTGTTACTGCCCACGATAACACATCCAGACATCTGTGGTCCAGTAAATACTGCATCAGCGTACACATCGTAAGAGATAAATGCATACAAATCGCTAGACTCCCATTATAGTAACCTGCTACTGGCTGGTGCTGGCTGTGAGGAGCTTGGATGCATGGCCACGACAGCAGCCACGTGCAGAGGATCATGGCAGGCATCCGCCCTCCTCTGTGTTTGACAGGGTTAATCAGTGTTGGTTTGGTGTTAGCTTCAGTTATATGAGCCCTGCTAGCATTCTGAGATTTCCTGCATTCATTGTCTAGCTAAGGCATAAGAGATCTAGACATAAATAGTTAGCAATAAACAGCATTTTTTTTTTTTTTACCCAATTAAGTCGTTTCCAATTCCACCCACTAGTTAGGACTCCCCCAATCACACAATGCTATCAACGCTAGGAGGGTGAAGGCTAACACAGGCTTCCTCCGAGACCTGTGAAGCCAACCACCGCTTCTTTTCGAGCTGCCGCTCACGCAACGTCACTGGACAGCCGAACGCGCTCGGAGGAAAGCGCCAACCGCCAGACCTGTTACGTCAGCTAACAGACGCCTGCGCTGACTAGCATCGCGTTGAGTGATGGGGGGAGAAGGAGGGGCCATCCTACCCACCCAGAGAGAGCGAGGCCAATTGTGCTCTCTCGGACTCCCAGCTACGGATGGCTGTAGCATCACCAGGGATCGAACTCGCGATCTCCTGATGATAGGGCCAACGCTTAGACGGTTGTGCCACTCGGGAGCCCCTCAGCATTTGACAATGATCAAAACTACAGTCCTAATTGTCTACCTGTGGAAATCCCAAAATTTCTCCTTCGCTGGCTCAGCTCTTCAGTTTCTTTCCTCTCACAACGTCGGACAGCTGAGATGCTATAAAACTGTACATTTTTTTGTTTTTTTTTTGAAGCGACGCAACACACTGTGGCTATATTTTATGTGTCAGGATGCTTAATTGACCAACGATGTACAAAGCAGTGGCTCTGTAAGCATCACTGTCATGGCAGTCATCGCCACATTGAACGGTGGTATGTTGACAATATGGCGATGGCGACAGGTGTGACGTCAACTGAATGCTATCAACAAGACAGATTATACTCTCTTTGTAGTAAAACAAGTAGCTGTTCATTGTCCTTTATGTACAGACAATATCCACAATTTGCTTAGAACAGCGTATTGTGTTGTAATTTAACACTATAACAATAAATTACTGTCACATTTCCCACCTCTAATTTCAACTAAATTGGAACTGAAATGAGAGCGATCAGCCCTACCAAGAGGAAGTCTCCTTCTCGGAGCTGGAAGCTGCTGGCTGTGAGCTGGATCCCCTTGCCGTTGTCAGTCCTCACACGGTAAATGCACTCGTGGTTGTTGTCATAGTTGTTCGGATAATTTGGGGACAGGAGTACCCCTCACTCCCCAAGGAGGAGGCACCACACTCAGCTGGCCAGAACCCGGAGGACAGAGGGAGGAGGAATGGTGAGAGGGTGTGAGAGAAAGAGAGAGAGAGAGAGAGAGAGAGAGACACAGAGATAAAGAGAGATGAACAGGGTTAGGGTGGAGGGCTAACTCCATTTTTTTCAAGATACAAGAAAAGGCCTCTCCCATGTTTTTCAATGTATCATTTTCATCATACTGCTTTTCACTGATTACATGCACTTACACTCAATGAAAGTAAAACCTGTGAAACTTCTTTTAATAATTTGACCCTTAAGGCCAGAGCACCCTGACCGCACAATGATGAATATTCCAGTGTTTGCAGTTGGCCTTAGAATGTCCAGAAAAAGAACTGACAAGCCCAAATAATTAGAATGAATAGAGAACAGAGGTGGAGAGCAAAGGCTGTGTCAAAATTTTACTCAATTAAAAGTGGAAGTATGGAGTCAAAATATACTTAAGTGAGTCAAAAAGTGTGCAGCTTTAAAGATACTGAAGTACTTAAAGTAAAAAGTAAATGTTTCAAGTAAATGTTTCACTGCTTTCAAATGCAAGTGGGGGGTACTTTTCTTTGAAAAGAAACTTTTGACTGACATGCACGTTTACGTGATCTATGTGAGAGAAACAGAATACTGAGTTTATAAAATGAGTGTAGCTAGCTGGCATTTATGCTGGCGGTTTTGGTCTATTTTACTGTATTTTTTTAACTTAAATAAATTAGAAATAAAATCTGGATTAACTGCACATGTTTAAAATGTACTTAACTTTTACCATTTATTACATTTTTACAGTTTATCTGATTGCATTCCATTGTTTGACCATTAACTTTTTTCCTCCGCCATGAGGAAAACAGCGCCAATTCGTTCTGCACCAAAAATTCTGACGTACCTGAGAACATCATCCAACTTCGAAGTGCGTTCGTGTGGTACCTACAGATGGTTATGATAAAACTGAGACCACCTGAAAGCAGCATTAGTCCCAACCTGTATCTAACAGGTGCTCCCCTTACCTATCACTAACGCACATTATCTCCTACTACAGTACAATAACAAAGTACTATTACTCAAACATATTCCACCTTTGATGGACAGAGTGCATCCTAGCGTCTTCAAACAATCAAACACAGGAACAGTACATCAACCAAATGTTTGTATTTGTTTGTGTTTGTCCGGTTGGTCAAACTCTGTCCTTTAACCTGTGATTAATAAACAAGTGCAGAGTTAATTCTGTAAACACTAAGCTAGTGGCAGAAACACCAAAACAATAGACAGCACTGAACATGTTAGAACAAGACAGAACCAAATATGAGTGTTGTCTTTTATATTAAGATAAGATTGAGATAATCTGCCCATCAATTGTTCTGACAGAAGTGAAATGCTGTTATTGACATGAAACATTTATTGTGAATTTTCAGTCAGTTATTATGATGCTAAAATTTAATTTTCATCCCACCACTAACCGCAGCACATGAACGAAAGAGTTTAGGGTGGAAACAATCAGATTCCTTATATTATACAATACCTGCCAGCTCAACAACAAAAGTCACCTATCTTCCCCTGAAGCCATCCCTTAAAGTAGAGGCTCTTGTCCCTAAAAGTAGCGCTCTCTTGAAATAATTAAGCTAGCAGCGCCCTGACAGCTGTTGCTCTATTTCCTGCTGATAGGCCAGTCAGGGTTCTCGCACCAGTTGGAATATGAGCCTTTGTCATTTTGATGAATCACCACAACAGCAAACTTCCGAGGAATACTAATTAACGCAGGGCTTTATGCATTAGTTAGGTGTTGGTCACAAAGGCCCAGGGCTGCACTAGAATCAGATGTCCTTGTCGTTAATATTCTGCTCTTGTAGCTCTAGTATATACGCAGATGTTGCCTCAAGACCTTGAGTTCTGCAGCCAGAGCCACAACTCTTGCAGTGACTACCTGATAGCCTAACTTTTAAAAGTATATAAATACACGGGTCCTGAAATGCACGGAAAAAAAAACAAAAAACTGTTTTCCCAGATTCTGAACGGAATGATTCGTTCTAACAACTACAGTAGAGCTCTTCAACAGTTTTTTATACTATGAAACATGAGCTCATAGGTTTACTGAGGTGTGAGGAGTATATGGAGACGAAACAAATGGGGACATTGTATTGAATAAAAAGTCAAAATCTCTGCATGCGACAAAGTAATGTTCAATTTAATATGTCACTTTATAAAGCTAATAAATAAATCTCAAATTCTGAAAGCTAAAAATTCTTGTAGACGCTGCACCAATTAGAGACAGAGACACACACTCAAACATACTCATACACGTTTGTATTACTATCTTGGTTGGGTATTTCCACTGACTTCTGTATGGCTATAGCTAAATACTGCTGGGGCATACAATGTGTCCAAAAGTTTGCAGACGTCTGCTCATATAGCATTTCTTCTGAAATGAAGCGTATTAATAGTTTAAGTTTATAATGTTTGTCCCCTCTTTTGCTGGAGTGCCAGCCTCTGCTCTTCTGAGAAGGCTTTACACTAGATGTTGGAACACTGCTGTGAGGGTATTATTGCATTCAGCCACAAAAGCATTAGTGAGGCCAGGTATTGATGCTGGATGTCTAGATCTGGATCACTCCAACTCATCCCAAAGGTATTGGATCACTCCAGAGAATGCTGTTCCACTGCTACACAGCCCAGTGCTTAGGTGTTTTATACTCATCTAGCTGACACTTGGCACTGGGGATGGTGCCTTTAAGCTCATGTGCAACTGCTTCAGAGCGTTTTGTTCACCTGTGTCAGCAAAGGGAGCACCTTAAAGAGGAAATTATTCATGTTTTCCATCATCTTAGAGTAGCGATGCACTGAAACGAAAAAATCTTGACTGAAACCAAAACCGAAATTCAGAAGAGAGTTCTTTTATGTATAATTTGTCATTTTATTTATGTTTTTGAATTAACATAATAACGCTGACAATGCTAAAAAAGTCAAGGCAAAAACTGCCATGCTGGAAAATTTAATTTAAGCAGCTATCTAAATATTATTGCACTGTATGTATTAAAAGCTGTAAAATTCTGAAGTATAACATTTCATATTTTCACAAAGGCATCTGAATTCCAGAGCACCTCTGTTAACTCCGATAACAGAAAATACATACTTTTTAATATGTAAAGCATGGCTTTGGAACTCGCATCTAACAGTCTGGCAGCTGGGGGCACTGTTAACACACAAGTCAATTAAGTGTTCATCATTTAGCAAGGAAACAGCCATGAACTCACACCAGCAGGATCTACTAAATGCATGTTTGCAGCAACACCTCTAAAAACTAGAGGTACCATATAGAGCTGCAACAAGTTTGAGTGTTTCACTATTGATCTGTTCCTACTCAAACTGTTGAACACATTTATGGTGACCCGGAGGAGCAAAGGGACAAAAGGAACAAACAGCATTTTTAATTCCTGCCTCATTTTCATTAATGTTCAATATATATGTCAAGTGTTAGATTTTCATACTTCACTGTATGCCTGTTTTTATCAAACCGAAAGTGTCACTTTCAACCAGATTATATACATTTGGTGTATAGCTGTCTTGAAGATATTAGGTCTCTATAAAGAGCTGAATACACACACACACACATACACATACACATACACACACACACACACACACACACAGTCACACAAATGAGCACACACGCACACACACACTGTTAAATGATTAACTACAGTAATAATCTCATCTGAAAGCCCTGCACAATAAGCACTGATCATTTAGCCAGCATCTTTATTCCTTTCCACAAATACCCTTGGCCATAATTTGGGCTCTGAAAAAAGAACGAGAACGTCTACTCTGCCAAGTTCCATTAGAAATACATCTTTAATAAAATGAGAGATTTGTCGATGCAATTTGACAAAATGTGCTTGATTTATTATTAGAAAAGTTCAAAGTAAGGCAACATTCAGCCAATCATTTGTGGAGGGACAAAAAGAGCACGGAGAACTCCACCTATACTGTAAGTGCCGCATCTTGACCAAATTCATCTTGACTCACCAGCATAAGAGCTATACATCTTTCACTTAACACTCACTAAATTAGTGTCTGAGTCATGAATTCTGTATTGTCTGCTAGTATTTTTAGGTATTCAGGCGGTGAGTATTTCATAATACTAAGCCAGTGACTCATAAGGCTTTGTATTCTGTGCTTTGTATGTGTTGCAGGTGTCAAACCTTATTTAACAAAGCACAAAAAGCGCAAAGAACTCTTTAAACTAGTGAGCTAATATACTCCACACAAAACTCTAATGTGATTTAGGGAGACATCTGATAGCTTTTGAATATATTTAGGGCTGAGAGGTGCGAATAACCCTTTGGACCCTATGAAAGCAACATCAGAATTCTGGGGGGTCTCTGAAAATAAACTTTAAGAATATGTTATGGTGTTATGATGCCAATTAGGGAGAAATAGACGCTCAAATATGAATACAGGAAAAGGTCAATGTTGAAGCGGTTCACACTGTAAAAACCTGAAATCTTAGCAAATGAAAACATCTTAAATGTAGTTAGTAAAGCTAGTTTTTCTTATTAAGAGATTTCTTGTTATTCGAACATTGTAAGATTATATAACTTATTTCTATAAAGTGTCTTATTCCAGTGGCGGCAGATAAGCAATATTTCTCAAAATAAGTAAAATTATCAGACAATGATAGATAAAACAGTAAATTGTAAACAATACTAAAAATGTGTGTAAACAAATTGAACTTAAGTATTATCTTAATTATCTTATAATATTTTACAACAATCTCATAATGGGAAATATTACAGATATTGACTACATTTATGATGTTTTCACTTGCTAAGATGTCATTTTTTGCAGTGGTAACTCAAATAAATGAATGAAACAACGCAAAGTGAAATATTAGGTTAGATGAACAAAAGCAAAATTTTTCATCAATTTAAAGCTCAAAAAACACCTTTACTCAACTTCTGTGAAGTTATTACAGTGTAGCTTGCTTTGCCCTTATAAATAGTAATTATTTGGACTCCCTATTTGACAGTGTTATGTTTGCAGCTTTCAAATGCACACTGGAGTGGAGACCTTTGTGTGTACTCTTTTTTTGAAATAATGGACGTATTTTTCCAAAAATACTGCAAATTTCACAAGCTATTTCTCCGCCTTTGCCATTGAAAAGTTTGCTGTTGATCTGCCAAGCTTGAAAGCCTGTCAGAGGTGGCAACCAAGGGGACAAGCCTGTTCTTTTACTTTGCATGTTTAAAGTGCCACTTTCGCAAAGCTGTCAAGGCTTTAGTCTGAAATGAAACAGGAAAAAATTCTCTTCTAGGATGTTTTGGGTTCCATTTTAAACAATATAAATACCTCAAATAAAGAAATGTTTTTTGCAGCTGATATCAAACTGAATTATGAGAATATATTGCATTGAATACAAGTTACAACCCTAGTACAGACACATGATGAAAGCTTCATCAACTTTCAGAGCACTGGATTACTGTCCATGGTAACTGACTGTGCTATAGAGATGTGGCACAAAAATGCTGGTGTTTGTTTTTAAAGTGAACATGGCCTTTGTTTCTTGGTCATCGTAAGGATAATAAAAGCATGTGTCCACCTACCCACACACCTGGGCAAGGCTGCGCTCCACACGCGCCGGCCTCCTCCCAGGCAGGTGATCTTGCTCTCTCCCTCCAGACGGTAGCCCGAGAAGCAGGTGAACATCAGCGAGTCGCCTACTCCAAACTGGAAGCCCACCCTCCTGCTGTAGGCTGGAACCCCAGGGTCTTCACATGGCTCCAGATTATACTCTGTGAAGGACACAGCACTGTACTGATTAGGAGGCAATTGGAATTCAAAAAAAATCAATAAAAAAGCCTTGCAAAGTGCAAACAAATAAACAAATCTAGCAGAATATGCAGCTCCACTGAAGGACCCAGTTTATTTGGTTGGTCCTTGATAGATTATCTACAGATGCTGAAATTATTAACAGACTGCCTGGCAAAAATCAGTAGATTCTTAAAATGATAGTTTTGCAAAAAATTGCATTAATACAATCTTCACCCCACACATGGTCCATCAGCCAAGACATGCTTGATTTACAAAACTTTCTTCTTTAATTTTGCACTTCGGACACAATGAGGCTATTGTAATTTGTACTGATACCTATAAAAATAGACAAAAGTACTACTCTTTTTTTTTTTTAACCAATATTCTCCCAACTTAATCGTGTCTAAATCCATCCACTTGCAAGCCCCCCCCATTACACAATGCTACCAAGCTGGTAGGATTCCTCTGAGACACATGAAGTTCCACCGTATCTTTAGAAACTGCACAGTTCACACTGGACAGCTGTGCATGCTTGAAGGAGAACACTAACTGCTGTTACATTAGCTAACCGATGCCCACACTGGCTAGCATCACTCTGAGTTAAAATTGCGGGTAGGGGGTGGTAGAGGGGGAGGACCAATCTTCCCATTCAGACAGAGCAAAGTCTATTATGTTCTATTCCAGCCGTGGAGGGCTGTGGCATCACTGAGGACTGAACTAGCTGATGATAGGACCAAGGTTGCGCCACTCAGGAAGCCCCATGTACTACTATACTAGCTATGTAATATACTTTATTTGTCTTACAGTGTCAGAAACCACAAATACAAGGCAGTTTTCACAGCGCTAACCCAGTGGCTATAAGCTTTAATTACATGCTAACTATATTAGCCAGTTGTGTGCAAAACTTAAGAAACTTCAAACACCAAATATACCTTAAAAGATTAACTTTGTTTGAGGTAAGAGGAACACTGTGTAATCCTACATTTATCTTGCATTTCAGTTTTTTCCTGGGGTCCACTTATAATGCATAACTGTAGTTTTATACAGTCATAATTCATTTTTACTTGACAACTTTGTTTATCCCTTAGAATTAAACAGGCTGTTTTTGCCTTTAAGATTTGATGTGTAGATGACCTTTCTTTTGAATGGCTATCCTGTTTTGTGCCTCAAAAAACCTTATGACTTTAATATAAATGAGTGGAGCTAAACTGACGTTGGTACAATAGACAGATATATCTGCAAATGATTGTTTTTCACGACATCACAAAAATAGTGCATTCAAAATAGTTGAATGGTCAAAACAGTTTCCATATATGGACTGTATGGACTGAGTGAATAACACGTTTTGGAACGAGTAACAATGTTTACATACCACATTAAACAATTTTATTCCAAATATTTGGTTTTCCATGATATGGGCCCTTCAACAGACTCAGTTGGTTGATTTTCACCACACAGTCCTGCTTAGTGTTGGGGATAAAACTAGTTTAGGGTTAAGATTCCGATTAGAATTGCTTTGAGTTGTGGTTAAGGTTAGGGTTAAACTGAATGCTGCTTTTAGGGCTACGTAAAAGTTAAGCTCATGTTAACTGACATTCAGTTGATTAATGATAAGGTTAGATTCTCAAAGACTGCCAAAATAAAGTTACTTTTCACTTTTCACAAAAGCAATGAGATCAGTTGTCATGGCAACAGCGAGTAACAACCTACCTGAGAAGGTGATGTTGAAGCCCTCGTAAGACATTGAGAAGTCAGAGATGAAGCGGATCTGTGCACTGAAGTTGCCAAACAGGCCGGCCTTGACAGAGGGCGGCAGCACGGAGCCCGTGAGGCGGGCCACGGGCTCAGCGAAGTTCCCGTCTTCAGTAATGAGGAGGTAATCATGAGAGTCCTCCAGGTGGAACGTGTGGAAGACCAGCTGCACCCCTGCGGAGCGAGAGATGAGATTAGAGCGCCGTCCGTCACACGCCGGAGGCTGCGCTTTTTCCCCACCCACAGCGAGGCTGCGGTGGGTGCACGGGACTGGCGAGAAGAAAAGACGAAAAATCCGCATCACCCCCAACAGGGTGCCGGATAATAAAGCAGCGAGGGAACGTTCGAGTGTAAATTCCTTATCAAGGGTAATTTTGCAGGGCTGTAAATCTCTGACCTCATAATGATTTGATTGGATTACGATTCTTTAGGAAATGATTCAGTGCATCGTGAAATCTCAAATTTCACCATCATTTGATACAATTAGACTATTTTGGTACTGATTTATTTTGACTGGTGGAACTGTTTAGACGGTATTGGGATGTAGATAATAAAATGGGTTATTTTCACAAACATAACATATGATGGGAGTTGTAAAAATAAATATGTATGTATTTTTTTTTGCAAAATATAGTGTTCTGCAATTTTATCTCGTTATCGCAACTGTTTTTTTTTGCCATAGAACATTTAGTTGTTTTGGTTCACATTATTATATTTTACAAGGAAACCATTAAAGCTAATGGATTCAACAGTTAAAAGTAATACAAATAATTTTTTTCTAATTAAAAAGTCAAAAAAAGGATAAATATCAGTAATATGAAACACATATGTGGACACACTGTGAGAATTAGAGTAAAAAAAAAAGCCCAAAAAAAACCCAAAACATTAAAACAGAATAATGAACTCTAGTCACTTTTTATTGCTCCATATTGAGCGCCAATTGATCTACTATATTATATAAATATTGTTTATCTACATGTTGATTATGACACTCAAATATTTTTATTTGTTTATAATAATCCAAATGTACCAAGCTTTCCGTTCTTAGCACATTTATTTTCAAAAAGTGACATTTCAATTAAAATTAAATGTATTTAGTGGATTTAAAGATTTTATTTGGGCCAAATATAACACATACTGTATTTAGTATTATTGTAACTGATTATAATCAGTTCTAACATTCCAAAATCAATGCAACTGGATTGCTATCTTTAGATGTGTATACACACTTCCTAAGCCGCTTATCCTTCTGGGTCGCGGAGGATGCATATACAATCAAAGTAATTTAATGTTGAAAGTTCTGATAAGGGTGGAGGGATTACAGAGTCAAAGTGTCTACAATTATCAGCCACTTATAATCTTTACTCTTTCACAGGCGTAACCTTTCATCTTACCTTTCCCATGAGAAACTTCTATGGTCCATGTGCAGTTCAATGAGTTTGGATAGAAATCTGGAAAACCAGGAGACAGGATGGTCCCAGTTTTTCCGTAGACATAACCACCACACAAAGCTGAAGAAAAAGAAGAAGGAGGAAAAAAGCACACATACAGTTTTCAATTATTGATGGGTAAGTTCAAAGCATGATTTCAGTATAGCTTTATTTGAAACAAAGGGCTCCCCACCATTCTCCAAACACCTGGAGTGCAGTCTGGGACACGGATGCTCTGTAATTATTCATATATAGCTTTATATATCAATCTTCTTATTTTGCTAACTAAAAAAGGTAATACAGAGATGCAAATGATTACGGCCTTGGACTGCCTCTTAAGATTGGATTTGATTAGTATGCCAATTGTGGTGAAAATTACTCAAAGAAATTGCAGCGTTAAAAAAAAGTCCTGGCGGATTTGATATGGAAATCTAGGTCAGACTCTGCAAACAATATCCCTCGGTACTGAGAATCTAATATGCACTTTATAAATTCCATAAACAAACTTAAACTCCTTCCCAGTGTTACTTAGACAGACAACACTACTGACAATGAGAAAACAGAAATGTAGATGAGAATTTAACCAACTGTTAATTACTAACAAATTGGAGGCCACGACATTGTGGCTCATAAACTAGCATCTTCCCAAGTTTTTTCTTAAATGTGTTCTTGAGAAAGGTCCTAAGAAAAAGTCTACGTCAGATTCATGACGTGTTCTTAAAGCGCAGAACTGTTCACACCTTTGTGCTCTTGAGTGTGTGCAGATTCTGTTCTTTCTTAAGAACAAATCTCAAAAAAGAAAACATTGGTTAATGTCGGAATCTGTGTGAAAAGTGCGTAAGTGGGTTTTAAGAAGAAATTTCTTCTTAGGAATGGTTGGTGAATGAGTGCAAATTTTCATAAGGTGAAGAGCCACAGATGATAGTCTAGTTCAGCATGAACTCAAATGAAAAAAGGCCTCAAGATGTCCTTGAGCTATAGGTTGGGGGTTACTTTTCCTGTTTACTTCAAAATAAAGTAAGAGTTTATGCCAGGTTATTTTATGTGGGTTTTATCTTGATTGTATCTTAATGAGATTTCAATTACCTCATTTACATTTACAGGTGTCTCTGGTTAGTTGGATTGAAATTAGATTTCTATATGGCATGTAATATGCAAATCAGCTTGTAACACCACAACCGTCATCTGTGCTATTTCTCATTTTAGGTGGCTGTCACCATTTTAGAGGTGGGCAATATGACAATATTTTATTGTTAACATAATAAATTGTGTTTGCTGTGGAAAGCATAACACAGATATTGTCTGTACCTAAAGAAAAGAGAGCATATTTAGTTCTGTTTAATTTTTAAAGCTACACTACATTCGTTTTGGGAATTTGGCGACATCTCTGGTGGAAAATGTGTAATTGCATTTAACATGCAAAAGAGCATGCTGTGATTTAGGTTGTGCTCTGGACCCCTTCCCTGAGCAGATGAATCTGATGACTGCGAGCGCATTGAAAAAGAATTCAAAGAGAATTCAAAACTTGGTGAAGGACGTGACTTCCGAGAACGGGAGTGAATTATCTACTACTGTCATCATATGTTCATCAGTATAATGTTGATTTTGCCTTTGTGACCTAAACATCGAGTCAGGCCTTCTTTTTGAGACTCTCTTTTTGAATGATGTTATTATGTAAAGACATATGATGTGGTCCACAACACTCTTGACCCAACGCCTCTGACTTTTAAAAGATTATTTCAGGCTTTAGAGAGCCACTCGCATCATATTTTAGTGTTTTTTTTCTCCTGACTTAGTAACATTACTTATTTTTATCTAATAAAATCTTACACAGTGCAGCTTTAAATTTGGTTCTACTAGTGCACTGTGTTTCAAAATACCACAATATATATAATGTATTGTAAAAATGTTTTTAAATATTGTGATCTATTTTTGCCATATTGATGCTCTTTAACAATTTCTTGACCTTACATCAGCTTCACACTTGTGTTAGACTGTTAGACTAAGCCTAGACCGAAAAGAATTTCCAATGGTGATTCTCCCCATTGTTGTTATTGGCTGTTTCCTCCGGCTTCACATCTAGCCCTTGCCTGTAGCACAGTTTCACTTCTGCAAGCACTAAATTAAAAAATACTGTTTGTCCATGCGCTTATGTATCAAAACAGAATTAAATATTTGACATTATTTAACCTCATGCGCACGACTAGAGAGGAAAAACAGCCTGAGACTAAATGAATGAGAAGAGCCTCAGAACACAAGCTAACATAAAGAAATATAAAAAAGCAGAAAGAAGAAAACAATAACGAAAACATTTAACTGTAAATTGATGTAAAATCTCACTGTGTGGTAAATCACAATTCTGTATATTTGGACATGTACAACTATTATACCCAAATAACTGTGATATTACAGGTTTCAAATCATTTTGAATGCATTAAAACTGACCCGACACTGAAATTTAGCCCAGCGTTACGCGTAATCCAGGTCCGGGAAACCGGCACGTAGAGCTGAAAAGGTGAGGCTCTAAAACTCTAATGAGCTCACAAATATATAATTGTTATAAAAGAGCAAGATGAATTTTTCCTGTTGTATATTTCCTCCATAACTTGTAGTTCTTGTTTGGGACAAGTTTTAAAATTGTAAGCTTTTATTTCGTTTCTTCAACATTTTTCTGTCCTCAGGCGCTGATCAGATTAAACGTAAACACAAATCACGTTTAATTAAAACTGAAAACATATCTTACATAATTTATGACTGTAAAAAAAAAATCAAGATAGAACTGATTCTTATACGACAAATAACCCATATCCTATAGGAGACAACAATTAAGTGTTTCTCATGAATATAACGAAAATTTCCTTAAGAGGAAGAACATATTAGAAGGCCCATATCATAGAAAAACAAAACAGCAAGATCAAAATTTGCTTTTGTGAAACAAGTTTGATGTTGTATGTAAACATCCCTAACGTTTCTAAACATACTGTTCACTGCACAGTCCATACAGTCCATATATAGAAATTAAGCTGCAAAAACAGTCTGTTTTAAACTGTTTTTGTGATGTCACATAGACCAACAAATCATCATATATTCGCCCATTCAGCCTACAGCACTTCAGCCCTGCCCACCGGCCCATTCATGCAAAAGTAAGGAGCGCTTCAATCAGAATTGCTTTTTGAACAAGACACGATACAGGGCAGCAAATCAGTCTTAAAAACAAAGTAATAAAAACAGCCTGTTTAATTGTAAGGAAAACAGAAAGGAAAATTATGATTCTTTTTGGTACATAAAAGCACACAATCGTCATAAGTCAAATCATCGTATATATATATATATAATATATATATATATATATATATATATATGACACATACTCATACACATTTGTATATCTGTAAAAATGTAAAACACTCTGAATCACCACATTTTATCCTGAAACTAATCTAGCAAATATAGCACAACACAGGTTTGTTGTACTTGGACATGGACTCTTCCCAAAATAGCACTGTTAGTTTTTTTTTGTAAGCAAGCGTATGGTGTTTGCGCTAGTGATCCCACCCAGCTCTTCAGGCTACAGTGATGCTGGTGATTAAATGGAGCTTCGTGGTGTGCATGTTATCATATACGCCCCAGGCCACAATGGAAAGTTAATCAGCGAGAATAGCTCTTTCACTGTGAGACAAATAAAGTCTAGTAATGGCATAGCACCCCAGCATGTGTCTAGAGTACACGAGCAGAGAGCTCTTAACGTTTGAGGAAAATAACACACACTTTTTATCAGTGCTCTCTGGAAGACTTGGACAGTCTTGGTGTGCAAGCAAATACATGTGTGAACTGAGTAAGTAATAAGCTAAGATTTGGCAATGTAGCATTTTCCATGACCTTTGAACCTTATGGACCTTATCAACTGGCCATTCCACTTAAAAGCAGACTGTAATAAACTGAAATTGAGGTTAATTACCCAGAGCACACAATCTAATGGGGAATTCCACTGATTTTTAGAATTTTCTGCATAATTCAGTGGTTGAGATGTAAACGATGTCATTCTGACTGGTTTGACAGGAAATGGTTCATTGTAGCGAAACTTACGAGTCACATTTCTTTACAGTGTTGGTGCTAGGAACCAGGGGTCCACAACACTAATATAGACATTTTATTTACTATGTAAAACCAACAGTGAACTACATGTTCTTCTGAGTTTTTATATGTAATGTTAATAATCATAAATTAGTGGGAAATCTGAAAAAAAAAGTTTTCTTTGGGGACTATTTAGCCTTCTAATGCCCTGCATGTACCATCTGTTATGAATGGCTTTTAACCGCTTATCTGACCAGGGCCTGCTGGCGGACCCAAAGTTTTATAACACACTTCTATAACCTAAAAATAGCTCCACCAGTTTGCACTGTAGTCCCTGTAGTTACTGAATGATAAGCCTTAGTATGTAATAAGTATGTAATTTTAAGGGGTTAAAAATTACTGTAGTGAACCGCTACCAGCTGCTGCTGGCCTCAAGATGCTCTTGAGGTGTGGCCATACTGATGGCCATGCCAGGAGGATCATGGAAGGGACACACCCTCTGGAAAAGGGATATTTGTGTTGCTTCTGTTTTTGTTCAGCAGTTAAAAGTATGTGTTTATTGTGTTGTTCTGTGTCGTGGAGTGGTTTTAGTTGGTGAGGGTGAAGTGTACTGTTAGTAGTGACCTCCCCCGAGTTCATGCTTCTGTATGTTTCTGCCCTCGTGTTTAATAAAGAGTATTTCTCGTAGCGGAAACATGGCCTCCCCTGTGTCTTACTCTACGCTGATGCTACAATATGTTTTTGGCCAAAATCTTCTCAAAACAATGTCTAGGGCATCAGACATTGCATTCATCATCATTTCATGTAATGACTTTCTTTGAAAGAGCTTTTAGAGGTAGAACTCTACAGACACCTAGTTCCTATCACCATCACCGTGAAAAATTCTGACTCTGTACATTTCTCTAAAGTGGAGTACTTTAGAGAAATGTACTTTACTTTTGGAGCTATGAGATAAGCTATGAGATAATCTATCTGCATAAGGAAGCAGTAAGTCAAAGGAAAATAAG